AATAAAAATCAAAATAGATTTTTGCCAAACATTTCCTAAACAAGGCATCAACATGACAAAATGTCACCACCTAGTTTCTCACAATATTATTAGTTCAATCTTAAGTCAGATTTGAATTTCTGAGAACTTGTAGATGATTTTGAAAATTAAAAATGATTTTGTAAAATAATTGGTCAATTTGAAGCAAGTTGAAAAAATACCCTTTTTTGACCCTGAGAAAGTCATTAAAGGTGAAATCTGAAATATAAAGTCAGATTTGAACTTCTGAGAACTTGTAAATGATTTTGAAAAAAACTTGGTCAATTTGAAGCAGGTTGAAAAATACCTTTTTGACCTTGAGAAGGTCATTGAAGGTCTAATACATTTTTGACCTTGAGAATGTCATTGAAGGTCAAATCTATAGTCAGATTTGAACTTTGAGAACTTCTACCTGCGATTTTGGAAAAAATTGGTCAATTTGAACCAAGTTAAAAAAGACCTCTTTGACTTAATTTTACCTTGAGAAGGTCAAATCTCAAATCTAAAGTCAGATTTGAACTTCTGATAACTTGTAGATGATTTTGAAAAATGGTCAATTTGGAGCAAGTTGAGAAAAGACCCCTTTGACCTTTTTACCTTGAAAAGGTCACATAAGGTCAAACCTTAAATGCACAGGCAGATTTGAACATCTGAAAATTGAGGAGGATTTTGAAAAAAAATTGAAGTCAGTCCACAGTATTTGTTAAGTTATTGGAAGTTTTAAGAATTTGTTACAGATTCCAACCACTGATTGCCAACCACCGTCACCAAAAAATGGAGACCATAACAATATACAATATGTCACCACTTTTTGGTGGTGCCATAAAATAGGTTTATGTTTCAAATGTCATTGAAGTTGAATGAAAGGTCAAATCTGACGTTCATGGTCATATATAGTGTTGCTTCAAGACCCTGGGGGGGGGGTGTAGATGATTTGTTTTTAACTGACCTTGAACATTTGTGGAAGCCTTTTTGTCATCATCAACTCTTGTATTTTTTTATCAAGAAAATAAACATACACACGTGTCCTTTTAATTTAAAATGTATTTGTAATGTAATTTATTTCAATTTGCCTACTTACTAACAATCAATAATGAATCAATTGTATAAACAATTAATACAATAAAAGTATTGCACATTCAAAAAGAGAAACCTTTAAAATAATGTACATGTATTCCCAAAATATGACACTATACCACTGTTTACATCCTAATACAGTTAAACCTGTACAGTGGAAAACCTTTATAACTTAAGTGGAAGACCTTCAATTGCGACGTATCAAAGGTACTCCACTTATACAGGCTTTACTGGACAGTAATCTTTAATTCATTTGAAGCAATGAAGCGCCATAAATACCATGATTCACCATTGGCTTAGTTTGTATTACCTTGAAATTTTACCAAAAAGAATTTGCATATGCGTGTTTACTGAGCTATTTGTCACGACAATGAAAAGTGCTCACCTCATGAAAATACAGGGAATGCCACACCAGTGACCTCTGTAACTCAACAAGGCATTAATATGCATAATAACACCACCTGCCATTTTTACAGATACCGACTGCTGAACACCTTAGACCTTTTACAGTTTTATTCTAAAATGCTCCCCAAAGTGTAGATGAAATGAGCAACATTATAACTGAAAATTTTTAATAAATACAACATGATTTATATGGCATTTCCCTACTTCACCAATCAAAGATTTGATGATTATGAATAAATATAATTTCACAGTTTTTGATATGAATATAACCATTATCTAACACAGTAGGATCACATCCCCCATATTGAGTGGAACTTACATTACAATTTATAAAAATAAACTATTGAACTATACGATTTAAACTTCCTGTTCTTCAGGTTGTTTTAGGAATGATGTCCAAATGTCAACAGTTATGTTAAGTTTATTTTTTAAGGGGGGGGGGGGGGAATGCCAATTTCTTTTTTTTACAAAAATCGAGGAGTTTTAACACAATGAAATTAACTTAATTTCACATTTGGACGCCATTCCTACATATTGCATATTAAACATGTAGTATTTTATTAAAACCTAAGAAATAGATATAAAACTTATTTACAACTAATGTAAAATATTGATTCAGTTTCATGACATTCACTCACGTCACTACACTGTTCAACCCTCCATGTTTCACAATAAAACCCACAAGGTCAAATCTACAAAAATACTTCTTCTTTAAGATACACTGTTGAAACAAGGCATTAACATGACAAAATGTCACCACCTAGTTGCTCATAATATTATTAGTTCAATCTAAAGTCAGATTTGAACTTCTGGGAACTTGTAGATGATTTTGAAAATTAAAATTGGTCAACTTAAAGTTGAAAAAGACCTTTTTGTCAAATATTTTTAGGTCAAATATATAGTTAGATTTGAACTTTTGAGAACTTCCAGATTTTTTTGAAAAATTGGTCAATTTTATTTTTGACATTTTTTTTACCTTGAGAAGGTCAATAGAGTTCAAATCTAAAGTCACATTTGAACTTTTGATAACTTGTAGATGATTTTGAAAAAAATCATCAATTTGAATGAAGTTGAAAAAATACCCTTTTGACCTTTTTTACCTTGAAAAGGTCACTGACGGTCAAATCTTAAATATAAAATCAGATTTGAATTTCTGAAAATTTGTAGATGATTTTGAAAATACTGAAGTCAGTATAAACGGTATTTGTTAAGTAATTGGAAGTTTAAGAATTTAACCACCAACCACCAACCACCAACCGTCAATCGCCGATCGCCAACCACCATCACAAAAAACGGAGATGTCACCACTTTTTTGGTGGTGACATAATAAAATTGTTTCCGAGTTGGAGCTGATGTTCAAATTCAACCTTAGAATGAGAACAATACAGCTAGTTCTAGGGTCAAGGTCAAAATATCAATGTTGTCCCAAAACTATGTTTGAACCTTCTTATCTTATATTGTTTAAGGCCATAATACTTTAATTACATTGAAACAATACCAAGCTCCCTCACAGTATCCATATAACAAGTATTGTAGACATAAAAGTAAAGTTTTATTAGGAATGCTAAAATCATGCGTCACCCTATACTTATTTGTTTAGGCAACAATACATTCATTACATTGAAACAATACAAAGCTCCCTCAGTTTAACAATTATTGTAGACATTGCAATGATTCCACAAAATGTCAAATCATTAGCAGTGTAAAGAGAAAGTTTTAATTGGAATGTTAAAATCTATAAATATATACACTATATTGCATGTCATCACAAGGCATACATCCAAGGCACACAGTTCATGCAGTTGTCTTCATTTCTTGTTTTTGTGATTGGTTCTATTAGTGATAGAATGTTACAATATTTTAACATGGTACAAGATATAGTTAAGGTGAAGGATCCAATTTATTGACCCATGTTTTCATGGCACACTATTATAATTGAGACTCTACATTTACATTGACTCTCCATTAACAATGAGACTCTCTATTATTAGTGAGACTCTGCATTAACAATGAGACTCCTCATTAACATTGAGACTCTCCATTAACATTGGGACTCTCTATTAACATTGACTCTCCATTAACAATGAGACTCTCTATTATCAGTGAGACTCTGCATTAACAATGAGACTCTGCATTATCAGTGAGACTCTGCATTAACAATGAGACTCTGCATTATCAGTGAGACTCTCCTTTAACATTGAGACTCTCCATTAACATTGGGACTCTCTATTTACATTGACTCTCCATTAACAATGAGACTCTCTATTATCAGTGAGACTCTGCATTAACAATGAGACTCTGCATTATCAGTGAGACTCTGCATTAACAATGAGACTCTGCATTAACATTGAGACTCTCCATTAACCCGCTGTTAACATTGAGAATCTTGACTAACATTGAGACTCTCAATTATTAATAATGAGACTCTCCATTAACATTAAAATTTACCATTAACAGACTCTCCATTAACATTGAGACTCTCCATTAACACTGACTCTGCATTAACATTGAGACTCTCTATTAACAATGAGACTCTCCATTAACAGTGAAACTCCATTAACACTGAGACTGAGAATCATTTGATCACAGTTGTGTATATATTGGTTTACAAATGTGTCTGATGTTTTCGTGTGATTTCTAAGCATATGATGAATGTTGATTTTATTTCAGATGGGGCCAATCATACACCTGTTATGACCTCAGATTTTGAAAAATTGTTTTCATTGTTTCACTGAAAACAAACTCCAAACTTGATGTAGTACATCAAAATTTAAAAGAATCACACATAAGCAACACCCTCAGGCCTGAATCACTTGTATTCAAATTACTTCCCAACTGACTTATCCTGTGACAAACCACTCATAAGGAGCACCTGGAAGCACTTACAGGGTGTCTCAAAAGTATGGGCCCCCCTAGGCAGACATATACCAGTGTCGTCATAGTATGTGTCATATATCATTTTAAAGCTTATCCAAAGTTACATTGATTCACCAAGTATCATGGTTCAACTCTCAAATGTGAAAAAATTACAGGCATTTCAAAATTTAGTGTTTGGTCAAAATTAAGTTCAATTTTACACCAAATCACTAGTCAATGTGTCCTCCTGGGCCATCTATAACAGCAGCAATCTTTTTTGGGTCGGATGGATATTGAGTTGGAAAAAGAGAACGGTGAGGGTAGAAACTCTAAGGAAACTCTTCTAAAGTGCCTTAACAGGTTTTAAGAAGGTTATAAAATTCCAACACCGCTATTTGAAGGGCTTTTAAGGTCATATCTGAAAATAATTGTGGGTGTTAACATGGCCAAGGGGGGACTCATTGACTAGTAATGTGGTGTAAAATTGAACTTTATTTTGACAAAACACTAACTTTTAAAATGACTGTAACTTTTTACCATTTGGGAGTTAAACCATGATACTTGGCAAATCAATGTAACTTTGGATAAGCTTTAAAATGATATATGACACATACTATGAGGAATATGTCTGCCTAGGGGGGGCATACTTTCGGGACACCCTGTATATACCAACAAATCCTGGATATAATCTCATTGCAATGATTCATCGTACTTGATATGTATTTGTGTTTGGTATAACATAAAATCTCTCACAAGACTATATACAATTTGGCTATGTATGAACATCTGTTCAACATGTATTTGTTAATAAGTTGATTATGTGTAGTGATTGATACAATATATACAATATAATGCTGGTAAGTAGGCCTTAATAAATGAATGGGCTTGAATCTCGTTGACCCTTCACCTCAGGTATTAAACAATGATCTGTGACATCATAGCCTCTATCTCTCCTTAATTAGTCCCCGATTTAATTAAGCTTTAATACAAATTACCAGTTATGAAATATTGATATCTATTGAGTTTTTATTCCAAATATATGAAAATCAATGTTTAACATTTGAGGCAAAACCTTATTTCATTGGAAATGCAGATTTATAGCTCAGTGACCAGTTCACTGTACTTCTGAGTTGGAAAAGATTTAGGTGGGTCATTATCAAGCGCATTCATGTTGTTCCAAAACTGTTCATTTTGAACAACTGGGGTCAGGCTATTAGCACTACTTGCCTTTTTATGAGGCTTAGAAGGGTTCCCGACTTTGGGACCCCCACCATCAATTGAATCATCCCCAGGAATGGTGATACTATTTACATCTGCCTGGAGATTATCTCCACTGCCTGCAGTGGTAGCATTCTCCTCAGCAGGTTTGACATTGATGGCATGCACAGTGGGAGTGCTGCTTTTTTGATCAAGCAGAAGTGCTCCCTCTCCTGGTAAATAAATACTGTCCACTGTCTTTGAGTTCTTACCCTTTGGGTCGGCAACATAATCAACCTTTGGGTCGGCAACATAGTCAACCTTAGGCGTGTCCCCATGTGCAGAGTTTACACCAGAAACCTTACTCTCTATTGACAGGGCATCTGTGGATGACTTTAATGAATCACCAAGACGAATAGTTGCTCCATTTGGTTGGTCTTCATGCTGCTGGTCCGTATCATCAAACAGTATGATGTTTCCCAAATCCATATTCTTCGCCTTCAGTGCAAGTTTGGGTGATTTCTTGATGTTGGCATAAGTTGGATTAGTTACGTAGATATGTGCATCACCATTGTCTGTTTTCAACATTTCAGCAGTTTGGTGTTCATTCGCATTCGGTTTCTTTTTTTCTTTCAGCACTCCACGTCTGCAAATCAATATCAATAATGTATTAATTGGTTGCTGTTTGCGCACATGGAAATCCAGTACATGTAATATATCAGTGATGATCTTTTTGGTAAATAAACTGTACACTCCTCTCAAAATGTTTAGAAACTTCCCATTGGCTAGTCCAACATTGGGACCTATGGCCATCTTGGCAGATATATTTTATTAGCCTTGGGATACTATTCTGAACCTCATATAGGATAATCTCTATTTACATTCAGATATTCATCAAACTCATTGAGGACATGAGATTTAAATTAAAACATAAACATTCTTGAACAGTAGACATCCAATGGGGTTTCCATACTTTTGGATGGGAGTGTAAATGTAAATATACATATCAATCTGGCTAGTTTATTCTAAATATGACAATTTGCATAATCAACTATAAAATCAGTTTTAATCTATTCGAATATGTATAATTTTAGACGAAAATTTGTGCATTTAGCCATGCTCCTAATACTGCAGTTCATCTAAAAGATAATGACAGCCTATTGCACTGACATTAGATATGTCTCAGTTTTAGTCGATTTCTGTGCAATTGACTCAGCAATTTTCATAAATATGTTTTAGAGAAAAGACTAGTTAGCGTTTAACAGAAATTAATCATAATTCTCATTCACATCATTTAGGGGTGGCTGTGGGGGTCTTTAATGGGGTCTGTGATAGTTCTGAAATTTTGATTTGATTTTGAGATAGAATCCCATACCTCTATTCTTGCAAATTCTTTTTTATTTCAAGTTCAGTTATCAAATTACCAAATCAGCATACAAAGGCATTCTAACAACCTGTTTTTCAATCATTTATTCTGCATTCTTTCAATCTAAACGAACTATAGTGGATGACAAAGTCAGAATTAGTAAAACTTTGTACAAAGATTGCATACTGTTGTATAAAAATAATAATAATCATGATGCAAAATGTAATATACAAGTAGAAATATGGTATATAGTTTGCATAAGTGCAGACTGAACTAAACAAGCAGAAAATATCCATGATTTCTTGCTGAGTTCAATCTCTGATACTACATCAGTAGACTTTAGTATATAATATTATGTAGATAGTTTACGTAATGTGAGCATACCTCTAATCTTACATCTGCCTGCTAGTGGGAAAACAAAGTTATGGATTAGAAATAATAATCATGTTATTTACAGACATATTGTACCATATTCCCAGTTAATAACTAACATACAATTACTAAAACTATATATAACAATATAAATAGAGAGTCAGGTACATATCAGCTTGTAGAAACATTGAAATCTAAATAGTATTCAATTGCCTTTCACTACATGCACTATGGCAATGCACTGCATTGTAAAAGACAATTGTAATGTCTACCATACATATATTGTTATGAGACTATAAATGTTATACAACTGTAATCCGGATCAGAAACCATCCTGATCAAGTAGAAACTCAGGCATCAAACCAAACCCTCACCCTGCCTTCTAGCACAAATTGATATTTCAATAGAACAACACAAAGTGTGATAAAAAGAGCCAACGTTTGGTGGTTCCGCCAGGAGAATTGTATTTTTAAACAAGTGTATTGATATTCGTTCTTCTATGTTAATTTTATTCAATCTGGGTTCATAGTGACATAAACACGAAACTTATCCATCTTTTAGATCCACATGGAATAACTAGTGTAAAGCATATTGCCTGATGATAAAAAAATCAAACAGATCCACTGATGTCCCAATGTGCAAAAATTAATCAAAATGGTTTTTGAGAACTATTTAGGGAATTGAGACTCTCCTGTGTGATAAATATTTTGTCTCCAAAAGTCCTAAGAATTTTTTCAACTCAAAAAATGCATACAACCATTTCACATGGGACAATTACCCAAATGAACAAGCCTCCATAGATATACATGAACATATACTGTGTTAGTAAAGCTTCTTAATGTTAGTTTCTTCATTCCCCGTGTGACATAATCAGCAGACACTCTTAGCTTAGTGAACTAATTGATGAACTTGCGTTAGTTTTCACATAACATTACTGATCTTCATTAATCCTTCTGCGCCATTAAAGGGGCAATACTTGTAACTTTAAATTTGATCTGCAACCCCTGTAACCACTACTTTCAATGAGAATTTATCTTCTTTCTATTAATATCAAAAACTTGAATCAAGATGCTCCCCTTATGATATTTTTCCTTTTTAAAAAAAAAATTAGACTTTTATATATTATCTTTCCATGCTACTACAAATAAATCAATTTCCATACTTCTATATTTCAAGATCAAAAATTCGTAGTAAGGAGGGTTGATTAAACAATTTTTGAGTAACAGGTATAGCTACTTTAATGACTTTATGAATTACATGAAGCTGGTTATATTTATAATGTATATTTAGAACGAGCTGTGAATCCTAGGAAACCACATCAAGGTCAGCATTTCTAGATTAGGTTTATCATAATATCAGCAAAATAATGTTATATAAGTAATGTTATTGTTAGGGAAGCAAAATCAATAGGAAATGCTAAAATTAACACCTGTTATTATTATATGTTAGTTCCATCTGTCTAAGTCTATCAATGTTAATGCTTGGATTAATATCTCAATTAATATCTGGATTAATATCTGGATTATGCTATGATTAAACCAGATGGTACCTTAAATCAGACTTCAGTTTCTCCGATCTCATACTGCTGCATTTTACCTAGAATGGGGAGAAAATCATGCAAGTATCTGGCCTAGCCCTCTTTCTGAAATTTCTCAATTGTCCTAACATCAATGGAACATCTGATGTTTTTCAGTTTCCAAAAGTTCAATATGTAACTCAAGACTTCATGATTAGCATCTATATTTTGAGTATTTTACGTGTGACATGACTGACAGTGAAACCTGGTGTTGTGATCAGTGAAGTTTGTGAATACATCTCATCAGTGAATACATTTCTTTAGTGAACATGTCTAGTGACAGTAAACATACAAGGGCCGATCAAAAAGTTTCTTACCGTTGGCTCTAAATTTTATACTAAGAGGAGTTGGATGTATATCCACAAATGCATACAACAAATGCATATACAGTAGAACTGTAAAGTTGAACACCTATATATATCTTGAGATACCAAAGGTGTTCTACTTAGACAAATTCTACTATACTTTACTTTTACTTTGAAACATATCATTTAATTTAAATGCTAAAATGAGCCTTTGAGTTATATAGCTGTGTGACTTGAATGAAATGTGAAGGTATTGAAGATGAATTTCGAGAATCAAACTCTACATATCGCCGTGAGTGAACTACACAATCACACAAATGTGATTCATTCGTCATGCATGCACGGTTGATTAAACTCAGAAATGAAACTAATATCTCCTTCAAAGAAAAATTATGAATATTTTAGTAAAACTGCTTAATGTGAGATGATATACAACTACACTATTGTAACAAACTGAATGATGCATTTACAGTACCATGCATGATGCAGTAACCATGCATGATTCTCTATATATGTATGTAACCTACGTACCAGTTATCCCAGGGACATTAATCACAGTTCTTATGACACCATTTTCTATCCTAGGACTAAAGTAGAGAATACAATGTTTAGATGATATGTAAAATGTAAATCAAAGGAATATATCACCCCAATATTCTGTGAATTATTGGATCCTTTACTGGTTAACATGTATTTGACTAAGATACTAATGTTCTGATTCAAGATGGTGTAGATGGATATTGGTATCACACCATATCAATCTCCTATCTACACGATCATTTGTCAGAACATTAGGCAAACTGTATAAATATGGACATTTTTGGGGAATACTCCTTTAAAAATCATGTATAATTGTTGTTTGGCAGCCTATTCTTGGCTATATTTTTTAAAAGCACAGTGTTAAGTATGACCTTTAAGATTGATGTTATAGTCATTTCGTTAAGAAGGCAGTGCACTAGATCAAGTGAATGCAACTCAAACAAAAAAGCATTATAATATTTCAGCTGATCTAAAAAACAATCACCTCAAATGTTAGCAGGTTGATGGTTAGAGAGTTTTTTGGAAATATTAATTGTTTCACACCTGTTTCCATGGCAACCAGTCAAATTTGAACATTTGAGTTAATATTGAGGAAAACTGAATATCGATTATTCTATAAATTAAATAATTTTACACAAATGAAACAGAGCCAGTTTGGAAATACTTCTTATTATCTATCTATAGGCTTATTATTGTGTCTACATGGTGAGGAAGCTAACATGGTGACCCCAACCCTTTTTTATTTTGAAATGTGAGATCACGAAGGAACATTTCAAAAGAATAGATTTCTGGTAGGGCAACATTTGATAATATGAGAATGTTCTTTTGGCATTTTTAATGTCCAGCCTTAACTAGTTAAACAATTATTTTGATGAAATATGCCCATCATATATGTGAACAAGTGGTTTCAGCTTCGTCATGGTAACTGTTAGTAAGTATTTAGATGGGAACAGATGAGAAAAACTCCCATTAGGCATGTTATTGGGCATGTTATTTTGGACTCTCATTTAAAATTACTAGTTTAGATATCATAATATAAAACACATATAAAATTCATCAGTACAAAATGAATGTAAATTTTCTAAAAATGAAAGTCTAATATAGTAAGAAATTGCGTGCCTTTTCCATGTGTGTTTTCAACAAGGAAGTATTAACTTATGTGACAGGCCCTTGTGCTAATGGATAACAATAGCAATAAAAAAGCGTTTATCCTAGGATTTGCTACCACTGTAAATGAACAATAAAAGATAATGTAAAATCCACAAGGTCAATTTGTAGTGCACTACCCTCTTACCGTATATTATTTCATGAAATTATTAGTAATGCATATTTCTTTAAAGCATGTGTGTTTAAAAGTGTGATACATTTTAGTCGTTCTATTTATATACCCATAACCCTTCTAGCTCAAGATTTTACAAGGATATACTTCAAATAAGACAAGGCATTAACATACAAAATGTCACCACCTGCCATTTGTTACAGACACTGACAATGGAACACTGTCCTCAAAAAAGTTGGAGACTACAACATAACATAATAATGACCTTTAAATAACACCATAGACTTGCCAAGAGTTCTTACTATTCCCTTTAAATCCATATAAGAACAAACCAAACAAAATGGACTTCAATTTTGTTTATACAGCTCCTAATGGTCATGTGAGGATTGAGCAGCAAAGATGATGGACTTTTGGCTTGTCTAAGAGGACTACCACAAATAAGGACATCTATCCACCACCAATAGGACTACCTCACTACATAACAGAAATCTGTCCCAACACCATTCGTGAGAAATTCTATGTCTATGATTTCTCAGTGATTCATACAATGTACCTTTAAATAACACCATAGACTCAACAAGATTCCTCACTTTTTCTGTTTTAAACAATACATGCCAAAACTATATGAACCAACATATACTATAGTTGACCTTTCTTCAACCCTGGGTGAAAAACCTAGCTTTTAAAAACAAAACTGCAGGAGATACTTAGCTTGGCGAGATGCTTTTATTAAATTAGAATAGGCAATTGAACAAAATCACATCCAAGTCGGTAAGTAGATATGAATTTTTAGCAAATTAATAGCACTAATAACTTTAAGTGGGCACTAATTGCCACCCAAAATGTAAAAGAATGTGTACTAAAACTTGGTACCATCTAACAATGTACACATGAGAGAAAAATCTGTCGAGGGGCATTCCTGGATTAGTGATGACAAAATTCATTCAAAAACTTGAACTAGAACGAAAATGACTGCCAGAAATCAAGATGGTTAGGTTACCCAAAAGTTAATCATCAGTAACTTGACATCATCAAGTGTTTAACTTGACATCATCAACTGTTTAACTTGACATCATCAACTGTTTAACTTGACATCATTAACTGTTTAACTTGACATCATTAACTGTTTAACTTGACATATGTGTACATAGTCAAAAAAATGTGACGAGCAGTTTTCTTGGAATTGCTATGACAAAAAGTGGGAGAACATCATAGTCTATCACTAACATTATGATGACGACTATATTCCACCAGTGGTGTGAAAAAACCTTTTCTCTCTTTAGTATGATGTTAGTAACATTAACCAAGAATAAACAAAACAAAACAAAAATAAGAAAAAATGAAGTTGAAAACACATGACTTTACAAATACATTTACAAATCAAGTGCAATGAAACAGAAATCAAGCTATGGATAGGACATACATTACATGTATAAACCAAAACACATTCCCTTGTAAGGCAATACACATTTTATAGTTATACAGGGTGTTCAATAAGTATTGCTAATTTTTCTCTTGTTCTCTTGCTTTTTCCTTCATGAAACTTTGTTGTATATTGGGAAAACTCATGAATTTCCATGTGGTACGATACTTTAATGCATAATGCCTTACACAGTGGTTTTGGTATATAAGAGATTAATAAATTCCATGTTATTCCAACTAGAGAAGACAATATTTAGAATCCCATTCCCTCCAATGTTAATTAAATATTCCTTACTACAAAATAGTTATGCTGGAATAGAGAATATAGAACATAGTATAGGTAAGAGTATCAAGTCGTCAAACATGCTTTATTAACCAAGAGTACGATAAAATGTGTTATATTTCTCAACACTGCAATTCTATAGAACAGCTCACTCGTGATAACAGTCTCCCATCAAGTCTATTGTATCTTCATATTTTTTGTACCTCTTAATTTTTGATGAGACAAGATAGCAAAGAGACATAATGCAAAAGGCCTAGTGCAAGCTGAATATGAGGTTTAGTAAGAAACTTAGATGTTAATCAATACTAGCCTTTAAGCATTATTTATATGATTCAACATTTAAAAGGATCTGTTGAACTTTGATGTATGGGGTTACTTCATCATGGAGCTATATCGACCATGGGGCTATTTCAATGTAGCATAGCAAAAAATTTCAATCTATGCAGCTCGAAATGCTTGTTTTTGAAAATTTTAAAAATAAATTCAAAATCTAGTCCATTGGGCTAGATCTTAATCCAAGATGACCAAACCCAGAAATTTGAATTATCAGCCGTGCTCGAAATAACCTTATGGTCAAAGTAGCCCCAGGACGAAGTAACCCCATATGTCAAAGTTCAATGGGTCCCCCTAAAGCATACATGGGTGTAAGTACATGGGTTCCTAGACTACGTATAGGCATACACATGTTCTAGGAGTATATCTTCGACATGAAGACATACAAATTTTTTTTAATTCAATAATTCTTCAACAAGTCATCCAGCTAATCAAAATGCCTGAATCATATGAAATAATTTGGAAGATTTGATCATATCTGACACTCAATTGAATAATAAACCATGCCAGTATATACCTAGTCTACCCATACGTACTTTACACAAATCCAAATTCAATTTTCATATAAAGCTTACATGTACAACTGATTTAAAGATTGAACAGTATATTGATTCTTTAACATTGATCTTATTAATTATAGAACCCGTATTATTTTCTAGCTTGTGAATCAACTTAGCATGATTGAATCATTAATCCAAAATTCTTAAACAATTTAGATATTTCAATCCATGTATTGTTTGATGATGACTTGTCAACAAGAAACTTTCTAAATTTTTGAATTAAAAGTATCTGAATTGTCCATCAAATCAAATTAATGAAAGGGAATATGTATAATCAAATTAAATGCAATACCCCTTACTCAAAATGAGTCATTTTTAAGTAACGGTTGAATACTGTAAATAATGTTGAATAAGACTCGTCAAACTATTCATAGAATCATATAATATAAAGACAGGTTGGGCCAATAAAAATGCTGATTTATTATACAACTGTAGTGTAAAAGCTCAGTCCCCAATTAATGGAGTCTAAAACTCCCCATTTATCAAAATTGGCATTTTATTTGTGCAATACCACTTTAACAATTGATATTTTTATTGGACCACCCTGTGTATGCAAGAGTGCAGTAGAGCTATAGCTTACCCCTCTAATGTGTTCATGTGGTTATTGCCCTGCCAGTCGTCACTGGCATTATCATCACTGCTCTCTCGTACTACGACTATTCCCTCATCACCCCTGGAATAGAACATTCAGAGATTATCTAATGTGGAACCTCAGAATGTTCATGTAGTTACAGTATATATGGGTTAGATGCCATCAAAAAGGAGATTTTAATAGGACAAATCATGAAAATCAAGATGTTTTATAAATTGAGAATGAAATTTTACATTAAGGGAAATATGTTATCTTTGAAATCTAGTTTAAAACATTGAAGTTGAAAAACATGTAATAGTCAAGCATTATGATGAGGGATAATATATGTTAAACTTCCATTCAGAACTGTGGTAAAGTGTAACACAGCATTTACATGACATGAATGTCACCACCCTATAAGATATTGTAAAGTTACAAAGTGTGACAATATGTTACAGATACCAAAACACCATTAACAACGTGTTGGCAGAGACAAAAAAATGGAATGACAATATACACATAATAAAAATGTTCAAGGTATTTTCTATGTAAAATGTTAAACCATATAATACATGCACATCTTGAATTTCTAAGGTATGTGGTATTCAGGAGGAAAATCAAACTAAAAGTCAGTGTGATACAAGAGTATGTTGCTCTCAAATTTGGAGTTTGATATTACAAATATACAGCTAGAAATAACTGAATTTGAACTGAATAAGAGAAGTTTGTTTAGTTGTTTTGATTCTGAGAATAATATATACTTGTTTTGCATACCAGCACCTGAAGTATGTAAGTCATATCCACAGATTCCAGCAAGATCATTTTGTAGTAGTTTCAGTATTTTCTTGTTTAGGATTATTATTGAGCTACTGATTCTACAAAAAAATATGGCTGGAAGCGGTGACCATATCGATGTTGGTAATGGAAGGTGGGCAATTTAAATTTAAAACAACAAGCAACTACCATGCAAAATGTCGCCCTATGCCATTTGCTACAAACGCTGACCATGGAACACCAAATGCTGAATACCATCCACAAACAAGTTGTGGTGGTGAAATAAAAATGATGTGAATATTTGCAAGTTTCATTCCTAAAAACCCTGTGTGACAATTTTGGTTTATTTTGGTCCATACTTGATGACACAATTAAACAAGCAAATAACTTATCCCATTTCGAGAAATCATTTCTTTCAAAATATTAATGATAGCAGTTTAAATCAATCTCATTAGGCACATCATCACTTTTAATTGTATTTTACTGTATCCCTGTAAATTGCATGTACATAGTGTCGGCCATTAGGGCTAGTTACCTTTTTATTGTATACTTTTTTTAAGCTCTTGATTAATACTAATACATGCCCTTTGGTGTCTTGGTATTTGTCATGCTGCATTTTTGTACATACTTTTATAGGATTAATAAATAATAATAAATAATAATCCTCTTATAATTTATATCTGCTCTCTATTTATATACTCAGGATAATCTTGTCTTACATCGAAAGCTTTACTCACATAGATGCAAGTAAATGATAAAGTGACTTGATAGAATACAAGATGGCATATCCTCCCATTATGTTTACAATTCATGCAGTCAACTGTAAAATAAGATAACTGAATTGAATTGAATACAAGATGCACCATACAACCAATCGGTGTTGGCTCACTGCACTTACGCTTTAACCTTGAAAGCTAAATCGGCATAACCAGGGTCAAAGTTATAATCTTCATCTAATTTAACAATAGGCTTTCTATCACTGATTCTTATATCATAGAGATGGCTTGAGGTCTCTACATCAAGTTCTCTGTTTGGTTCTTCATCAGAGTCATTATGGATGAAGTCAAAGCTGTAATCAAACAAGCAAGAAAGGCAAGCAATTAACATGCACTACTGAAAGCCAAACACCTAAACTTTAAGAAATATATCACAGGGGTCACACCAATCATATGTGCATAATGAGCATTTATATTTTGCTAAAAGTTAAATGATTTGTCTAGTTTTCTTGCACATCTGTATAAGTTAGAGTGCCAACACCAACATACTAGATTAACTTATTCTTTATGACTTCACTTATTTCTTGTATAGTTTGTGATAATAGGACATGGCCCCCATGAAATATTTCTTAAGGAATGCTGAATCCAGGTCAAATATTTAAACATGCACTAAACTGCTAAATTGTAGTTATTGATTTGACTGGTCATCTCTGCATTTGACAGAATTTGACATTTGGTGTCAATTATAATGTTTTGGTTTAACTTGGTTTCAAGCTCCACTGATTACATAATATAACCATAGCTACTGACAATTTGCTGGAAAATAATGAGTGCCTAAGATCACTCAAGATCACTGACCACTGAAGATCTGTGTACGCATTCATAACATAATACAACTAAATAAATCAAAAGTAACATTCACAGATTTGGGAAGCATATATTTGGCCTCATTTTCAAAAATAGGTCTTCTGTTTTTAGAAAAATTAGCTTAAGTCTAAACTGCTAATTTTAAGATCCTCCCCAGAGTTAAACCATAACATTATAGAAGCTGGGATGTATAAAGCAAAATGCAATATACAGTCTATGGCACAGCACCATGGCCAAATATGGACTGACTAGTGTAAATAAACGAAGGGTTGCCTCAACTTGTGGCAAATCTTGATGCTGGCCATTAGACTGATGCAGTATTATTAGAAATCAGTAATTCATAAGCAAACTCTAAGATTGTACAAACTAGTTAAATCTAACCCCATGCACAAAAACGTACCAAAAGCTCGAGCTTGCATTGAAAGACAAATGCTCAAAAATTGAAATCATATAGTAATGATAAAATAAAAAATTAATTAAAATACCAAAGTTCCCAAACTTCATAAGGCTAGGACTACAACTAAGTCAATTTCTAAACCAGAAATGATGAAAATCAAGCAAATCTCTATAATTCCATGCTGTAACTTACACATCCACCATCCCTTCATCTTTTAGGTTGTAATCAAAAGCAGGGTTGGAAATAGCAGGGTTGCGCTTGGCATTGTTTAGGGTATGCATTAAATGTGTCGTTCTGTCGTTTTCATATTTTCTCCTAAAACGAAAATATATCATAAAGTAATCATGTCACTGAACATAATATTTCAATTCAACAAAAACAAATATAATCAAACTTAGGGGAGGCATCAAAAGTTCAATGTCTGATTGGAAACTAAATAAATCCAGTTTTGACTCTGACCCCCCCCCCCTCCCCCAAAAACTAAATACCATGAAAGTTGATCGCTGACCTCCGGTTTGAAAATTTGAAAAATTATTGCTAAACACGATCTAGTTTTTGTTAATTCCTATCTTCATTTGCGGCTTTTAACAACTATTGATAGAATAGAATCCTTTGGAATGATCTTGACGAAGACAGCATCAGGTAAAATCTTTATTTTTAAACCATTCTGAGTCAAAATTGCCAAAAATTTGAAATGTTGAAATTTGTCGGATAGCAAACTGAAATTGGTTCGAACCCCCTCCCCCCTAACAAGATTTAATTAGTTTTCTATCCTACATCGAACTTTTGATGCCTCCCCTTAGCGTTAATAGTCCAACACCATAATATTAGCCTATTGTTTAATAAGTTTAGTACTAAGTAACAAAAGTTTGGACTGTATATATGTTAATATCATAATCATCACTTAAGACAGGTTTTCATGTATATATACAGAGTACATGTATATACCTGAATGTAAATATACGTGTACATCTGAATATAACAAGACATTACAAGTAAACTATGCCATCTATATAACAAGACATGACAAGTAATGCCATCTATCCTTCTAAAAGCAAATGACGGCAATTTCAAAGAAAAAAAACCAGCTAATGCTGTGGTCACATATGCTCTGATTTTCTGCACTGGCGCCCGGCCGATTGAGTATTGTGTTCAAAATTGAATACAATATTGAACAAAACACTCAATCAGCCGGGCGCCGTAGTAAAAATCAGAGCAAATGTGACCACGGCATTAGCACCTTATCAACTAAGAAATAAAACCAAGGTAAACTATTGAAGTTGCGGTTCTCAAATGTTAGGGTTATGCCTGGGCCAGGTAAAGATATAAGCATATAGCCCTTTACTTTGCTATCTTAGAAACTGGGCACTTTGGCATAAGCTGTTCTAAGCCATCCTTATATCTCTACCACAGGCTGTGCTACACACCAGGCCATTTCTTCAAAATAAATTTCATGTCTAAGATTCATTTGTCTTTTATGATCAAAGGCTAATGCCTGGATCACATTTGCTCTGATTCATCAGCCGGCTCCCAGCCGATTGAGTATTTAAATCATAACTGATAGACTATGAATACAATTAAAAAAAAATACTCAATCGGCTGGACGCTGATGAATCGGAGCAAATGTGACCCAGGCATAACAGATGATAAAACAATATTTGAAAAAGATGGCAGTGTAAGCAATTCTAACATGATGATTCACTTCTGCCATCTTTATATTGGCCTTGTTTACAACACATTCTTAAATGCTGGCAAAGCATTTGAAAATGAAGAATTGTAATCGACAATAATAAATACTAAATATGCCACAGAAGCTATGTTATAAAAGCTGTTATACAGGCATTAGACGAAGTAATACTACATTATATAGACTATGTTATTTAGCTGTGATATATAGGTTTTTATTGAGGCTGTGTTATCTGGGCTGTGTTATATAAGCGGTTAGTGGTATCATATAAGCTGTGCTATACAAGCTATATGTTATACATGTACATATACCTTTTGAAGGCAGGATTAATATAAGAAGAGTTTGGTAAAGGTAATGAAGCTTCTTCATCTTTCAATCTGTAATATTAACATGCATGAATGTCAGTTAAAATCATTGTCATGTTACAGTTATCTTTCTAAAGCCTTTTATTTTACAGTTTTACTCATGAAAAACAGGTCAAAATATGTCATAGTTTTCACAAAGAGTGTGTCAATTGAATTAGGAAAATATCAGAAGAGTACTGTGTTAGAACCTTACAGTACATGTACTTGTACTTGCAAGTACTTGTACTTAAGGTACTTGCACTTATTAGTTAGACATATTCTTCAAAGAGCAACATGCTAAACAATATCAGGGGTTTCATTAGCAGCAGGCAACAGGCGATTTTCACCCCAAGTAAACCCCAAGTTGTCCTCAGAAAAAACATGTGTTGTTTTTAAGGATCTTTTTTACTTTCCATGTTAAATTTATGATTTCCATTAATTTTTCCCATTGTTTTCATTTATTTAGCCTGTTGTGAGAAATTCTAGTAAAACCCCTGAACATATAAATCAAGTAGATGCAATTGTCACTATAGTTCATTTAATAAAGCATAAAGGAAGTATGTTACAAAGAGGTTACTAGTGCATGGACATATGAACACACTCACTTGCTTGTGCAAATAAGAAGTGATTGCCCTATAGACTTGGTACATGTACCCTGGTCTCAAATAGATGTGATAAATAAAAGGACACATACACATAGCCTGGAGTACATGCTTCATGAGTCATGACCCAAGGCTACATGCTCCATAGTCAAGGATGCATGTACCATAACAACCATGGCCAAAACTACATGCTCATTAGTAAAGGGCGCATGCGTCATAGTCACTGATGCATGCACCAGGGTCCAATCTACATGCACAATAGATAAGAACAAATACAATAATGTACAACATCTTAGCCAGTAATAAATTCTATAGATGAACTAAAAACTGAACCAAATCACAAAACTTACTTCTTCCATGAATAAATGACGACAATAACTCCGATGAGAGAGCCCAGGAAAATGATGCAGCCAAGGGCCAGGAAACCTGCCTGAACGGCCCCAATGGTGTAGGGGACCATAACGGATGGTATTGCCTTCACAGTAACAACATTCGCCTCAAGGGAATCAAACAAGGCACGGATTTCATCTGCTTTTTCTTCAATACGCCTGAAATGGGATAAATATGTGTGCATATGTGACCTTGACTTTAAGTTAGCACTTACGTGATCGTCAGCCAGCTTAGAGAGACACTGGCAGATACACAGAATTCAAATCATATTTAAAAGTTTGAACTTAACTTTGAAAAAAACATCTGGCTGAGAAAAGTTCATACTATCTTTGAAATTACATGACACTGATGTACTAACTAGAATTAAATAAATTTGTATTAAGGTTATTGTTAGCCAGTTTAAGGAGCACCTAGAAATAGAATTCAAAACAATTTTTTTCAATTTCAAAACTTTTAACTTGAAAAGACATCTGGCTGAGAGGAAGATGTAATTCTCTATCTATTCAGCTTACTTCAAAAGTTCATCTTTTGGCACTATTCTCCCTCCCTCAGTATCCACAGCATGGAAGTACATGTCAGTCCTGGAATAATGTAATATTTGGGTTAATTATTGAAGTGTTTGGTAAATGGTAAACAAGGCATTAACATGCAAAATGTCACCATCATTTGTTACAGGTGGCAACTGCCCATTGTCAACTGCTGTCACAAAAATGGAGACCATAATAATATGTCAAAACTTTTTGGTGGTGACATAAAAATGATAAAATCATGACAGTAGGGACAATGGTAGAACAATACCATTTTGCCACACTGAGATGCATGTTAAATTGATTAAGTTCGATATACAGGATGACAAAACAAGAGCCACATGGGCCGTGTGTGCCAACATGTGTGAATTAAAAATGAACCCATATACCATCTATATTGGAATCATGTTTATCATACTTTATAAAATCCAGGTTAACAATGTATTAAGAGATGACATTAAGAAAATATTGACAGAGAGAGTTAGCGAGATCAATAGTGCAAAAATAGTTCATTCATGGAACGAAGCGTGAAACTTTCCACATATCATCAGAATGCCATTCCCTTTGATTTAAGAGCCAGAGCCATATTTGTGGTCCACTAGAATGATCAAAAAATACTAAGTACCCCATCCCACCAAATCCAATGGGGGGTGGGGAGATATCGAAATATTTTTTTCATAAAAAAATGTCTTTGAATATGGTCATACTACAGTTTTAGAGTGCTATTTTCATGGTAAAGAAATTTTGCAAACATAACAAGATGATTTATCATCGATTTTCATCATTGTTAAAGACTAATAATGGGCAACGCCCACTTTTCATACCTTGAACATTTAGGTTATTAAATCTCTATCATGGGTTGAACAAATGAATGAAATTCAGTTTTCTGGATAACACCAGATACCTTTTTGATGTTAGGTGCTATAATTAATCTTTGCATTTGACTTCTTAAATATCACATCCCTGTTTAGAAGAAGAAAGCATGCAACAAATGTCCCAGATCTACAACATGTATCCACTATTCTATGTACATGTATGTCGAGTCTCTATACTCTCCTGAAGAGAACCTATGCTACAGACACAACTGTCCAGAATTTAGATGATGATGTGCTTAAACAGTTTGATAAATGGTGTGCTGACCAAGTGCCTTAACAGTTTGATGAATGTCGTGCTGACCAACACAATGTACCAGTCTTCAAGCTTTGGTTTCTGATTATTCAAATTGAAATACTGTGCCTTGACTATGTGAGGGCTATAGCACAGGAGAATTTTCCTCTTTATTTCCAGATGGTTTCTCTTTTACTTTCATAGTTGTTAAAGACTAGTCATGGGTGAAGCCCACTTTTCATATGCTGAACATTTAGGCTATTAAACCTCTTTCATCCGGTTGAACCAGAACCAGAGGACCACCACAGTCACAGCCTGCAGTCTCTAAATTCTCAAGAGAGCTTATACTACATACACAGCTGTCCAGAATCTAGATAATGAAGTGATAAACAGTTTGATGAAAGGTGTGCTGACCAACAGAATGTACCAGTCTTTAAGTTTTGGTTTCCGATTATTTGAATCAAAATACTGTCCCTTAACTAAGTGTGGGCTATTAGAGAGGGAATGAATGGTGATTGATGAATGGTGTGCTGACCAACAGAATATACCAGTCTTTAAGTTTTGGTTTCCGATTATTTGAATCAAAATACTGTGGCTTAACTAAGTGTGGGCTATTAGAGAGGGAATGAAGGGTGATTGATGAATGCTGTGCTGACCAACAGAATATACCAGTCTTTAAGTTTTGATTTCCGATTATTTGAATCAAAATACTGTGCCTTAACTAAGTGTGGAAATTTCCCTCTTTATCTCCAGTCAATTAGCAATCTTATCTCCTGTTTTTTTGACCTTGTCAATATGTTTGCTGAGTACCAGTTCAGTATATCATCAGAACTCAAATTTCAAAAATGGATAGCTTTTGGAAAAGTAAAAAATTATAGATATCTCACTTCCCATGAAATTGCAGCTGCCCTTTGACATGGTAGGACTATGTGTCTCCCCTTATTTCATGCCCTAACAGGTTCAGACAGTATATCTGCATTCTAATCATTGAACATTTTGTTGTGATTTTATACAATAGAGACAACAATGAAATAACTGTAAATGCTGCAAGACAAGAAATGTTCACAAAGAAAACAACTCAAATTGAGAACATCCCACCATAAGTTGCATAAGTTAGTGAGACAATTATACCTATGTCAGTCCTCGCTTCACCCTCACAATTGAGTTCGGAATCCATTACCACAAAGGCTGGGAAAATAATTTGGGTGCCAGTGTGGAAAACATTGCCCAAGCTTCAGATGCATGCCAAATGCTAGTAAAATGCAGCTGCAAACAACAGTGCTCAACAAAAAGATGCAAGTGCTTTTTGTCATTCTAGTGAACCACAAAAATGGCTCTGGCTCTTAAATCAAAGGGAATGTTGTCCTGATGATATCTGAAAAATTGCAAATGCCCGCTCCCATCAAATCCTGGGGGGGAGGGGGAGGGAAGTATTTTTTGTTGATTTTTTTGGATATGATCTATATTCATTTTGAGTATGTTATTTTCAATGTATAAAAACAATTTTCAAGATTGCATCCGTATTTCTCATGGATATTCATTATTAAAGCCTGACCAAGGGCGACGCCCACTTTATCAACATGTTAATATACAAGTTAATGAGTCTTCTATTATGAATACGAAAATTACCTAATAAGGCTGAATAAAATTGATTAGATTAAGTAAGTTATTTATGTTAAGATGATAAATTCTTTAAGTAAGTCAATTGAAAGGCCACATCCCTTTTAGATATAAAGATATAATAATATATAATTCACAATTAATGATACATTATTTTGGCTTTTAATGAGAGCACTTTACTAGCGTTTGGCATGTATCTGAAGCTTGGGGCAATGTTTTGTACACTGGCACCCAAATAATTTCCCAGCCTTTGCTGGTGTAGTGTCTGAACCTGTGGGAGCATGAAACAAGGGGAGACACATAGTCCTACCATGTCAAAAGGCAGCTGCAATTTCATGGGGAGTGAGATATCTCTAATTTTTTACTTTTCCAAAAGCTTTTCATTTTTGAACTTTGAGTTCTGATGATATACTGAACTGGTACTCAGCCCACATATTGACAAGGTCAAAAAACAAAAAAACAGGTGACAAGCTTGCTAATTGACTGGAGATAAAGAGGGAAATTTCCCTCTCTGATAGCCCACACTTAGTTAAGGCACAGTATTTTGATTCAAATAATCGGAAACCAAAACTTAAAGTCTGGTATATTCTGTTGGTCAGCACACCATTCATCAAACTGTTTATCACTTCATTATTATCTAGATTCTGGACAGCTGTGTATGTAGTATAGGCTCTCTTGAGAATTTAGAGACTGCAGGCTGTGACTGTGGCGGCCCTTCTGGTTCCGGTTCAAACCATGAAAGAGGTTTAATAGCCTAAATGTTCACTGGTACTGGTACATTCTGTTGGTCAGCACACCATTCATCAAACTGTTTAGGCACTGGGTCAGCACACCATTCATCAAACTGTTTAAGCACATCATCATCTAAATTCTGGAAAGTTGTATCTGTAGCATAGGTTCTCTTCAGGAGAAAATAGAGACTCGAGGTACATGTACATAGAACAGTGGATACATGTTGTAGATCTGGGACATTTGTTGCTTGCTTTCTTCTTCTAAACAGGGTTGTGATATGGTGTAAGCCTTTAAAAAGTCAAATGCTAAGATTAATTATGGCTCCTAACATCAAAAAGGTATCTGGTGTTATCCAAAAAACTGAATAACATTCATTTGTTCAACCCATGATAGAGATTTAATAACCTAAATGTTCAAGGTATGAAAAGTGGGCGTCGCCCATGATTAGTCTTTAACAATGATGGAAATCAATGATAAATCATCTTGTTTTGTTTGCAAAATTTCTTTACCATGAACATAGCACACTAAAACTGTAGTATGACCATATTCAAAGAAATGTTTTTATGAAAAAAATATTCCTATATCTTCCCACCCCCATGGGATTAGGTGGGAGGGGGTACTTACTATTTTTTGACCATTCTAGTGGACCACAAAAATGGCTCTGGCTGTTAAATCAAAGGGAATGGTATTCTGATGATATGTGGAAAGTTTCATGCTTCGTTCCATGAATGAACTATTTGCCTGTTTTCTTGCACTATTGATCTCGCTAAGTCAGCAAAGACATTTTACCTCTCAACATCCACCTTCCCATTCTCCTCATGTGACTCAAGCTTCTCCATGCGCACATCCCAACCAAGTATGGCACTCAGGTTCCTGTAAGATACATTCAAACAATGGCATAAGTACTTCATATCTATATCAAGGAGGGACATAGGCATAGCCCAGTATGGAACTCAGGTTTATAGCGCTATTTATCAAGGTACAGATCGTATTACTATAAAAAAATTTGAGCAATTAAAGGATGCTTTTGTAGGTTATACAGGAACTATTTACAACGTTTTTATCTATTTTATGGATTGGGAGTTTACGCAGCAGGATATACTGCCACTGATATATGTTTGTTCAAAAATAGCTGAGTTTTCAACATGAGCTAACTTGTGAAAACAAACTTCGTTTTGAAAAATCGCATTCTCCAATTAACTCATTCAAACCCAGTGAACCTGTAATTGTAAATTACCAAAATAAAAACAAATTTCTGGACATTGCTAAGAAACTCCATAACTAGAGCACTTATAAATCAACATAAATATGGACTCATGGACATACTGATTCAAAGGAATTTAGATTTGTTCAACTGTAATAAAAAACGAGGTAAATAGGGTGATGTTCTCATAAATTGTCAGTATACAGTATTTTATCAATGAGATGTACTATATCAGTAAGTGTGTGAGTTCTATCTAATACCTGCACATAAAAATAATGTGGAATATGCAGGTTGATCTATCAGTCTGGTGCCTTTTAGCCATATTTACTCTCACCTACATATATTGGCATTATACAAAGCAACGAAAACTTCCCAAAGGACCATTCCCATGGCCTTTTATTGGAAATGTAAATATCTTTATACCGACAAAGGACGATAATGCAGGAAGCAAACGACTGTGGCAACTCTCGAGAAAATTAAAAAGTGATATTATTAGTTTGAAATTTTGGGGCAAACAGGCTATTGTACTCAACAAATATGCTGATATAAAGCGTGCATATACAGATGAGCATTTCCAGCATAGAACAGATGTGTTCTTTACAACTGAAGTAGCTCCCGCAATTACAGGCAAAGAGGGGCCTATTTGGAAAGAACACAAGCAATTTTTTCTGAAATTTCTACATAAATTAGATGCAGCTGGTAAATTGGAGTATATCATACACACAGAACTTGAAAAATTAATAGAACATATCAAAAAACAGAATGGTAAAGCAATAGATCCATGTAAACCCATTACATACGCATGTGGAAATGTCATTGGCCAGATTCTGTTAGGCCAAAGTTGGGAGTATGACAATCCAAAATTTCACTACTTAATGGAGAATACACACAACATGATTTCAAATGCACAGTTTGTTATAGGATGGGGGCTTCTTCCTATAACACGGCTGGTTCCAGGGGATTACTTTCGATTTAAGCGAGTCAAAGATGCAGTAAATGCAGTTAATCATGTCTTTAGAGATAGGTATGAGGAAGTTTTAACAAAATGGCAACATGGGGACGACAGCTGCTATTTGGAAAGATTTATAGAGACTATGAAATCAAATGCCAAATCTGATTTGGAATACACAGGTATGCATATAAACTCCTATTTGATAAATAAGGTATAGCATTTTGTATCATTTAATTTGGTTACCGGTATTAGGGTGTCCATCCTTTTGTCAGAAAGTAAAATATTTGTGTCATCAGCAAAAATTGCATTTTGCTTTACAGAAGAGAGGCTCCTAAAGAATATGAATGACTTCATGGTTCCTGCAGCAACACTGATTTCAGCTATATTAAGGTATTAGCTATATTAAGGTATCAGCTATATTAAGGTATAAGCTACACCCATCTCTAAATTTCAATAACATTTCAAAGATAACAATATTTTTGAAACAGCCTTTTATCAAACATCCACTATGCCTAGCACTGTATTTGAATACAGAACTCGGGGATCTTATTCCAGATGGTGCATAATATGTATGATCTACCACCCTGACATCCAGAAAAAGGTCAGAGCTGAGATCCATGCGAATATCCCGATAGATCAACTTCCTTGCTTAACTGATAGACCAAAGTTGCCGTACACAGATGCTGTTTTAACTGAGATCATGAGAACCAACATTGTACAGCCAATATCTACAATACAATGTTCCGCAAATCATGTTACCAATTGCAAGGTATGGTTCAAATTTAATTTTGTATGGTGTCACTTCTGACATTTTTTATCATCATTTCAGCAAAATTGCTTGATGCCAAAATCTATTATCCTAGCAACATTTGGCACCCTTTACCTACTCTAAAACCATCATGACCCCTCCCCCCTCTGAACTTTTCTTGAGCTTCTCACCTGAGAAGTTCATTCATTCGATATGTGTATTCAGCCTGGATTACAATGAGGTGATAGCAAAAGATTTTTTAACTAGCATTCAAGAAAAATGTGAATACCTGTATACAATTATGCTAGACTCTGAACGTATTATGTTTTATTCGAATAAAATTATTACATATAACAGCTTGTACTGTTGGTGTGACTCTAGGGTTATGAGCTTTGCCCACGGACAGTGGTGATGGCCAACTGGTATGCAGTACACAATGACCCCACACACTGGACCAAGCCTGAAGTGTTTAACCCAGAGAGATTCCTAGATAAGAACAATTGTTTAAATAAGGATGTGCATTTTACTCCTTTCTCAATGGGTAAGTCCTCAATGAGCATATGTTGCAATTTTTTGCTTATCATAAATATAGTTACTGTATTACATACCTAGCGAAGCATTTGTATGGAAGTCAATGGACCTGAAGGTTGGCTATATATTCCTGTATAGCCACTAAACTTTTTACCATGACAATCTTATGGCGTCATGTTTCATTTCTTCCAAATTTCACTTGCATAATGGGAGATTCAGGTCATAGATTTCTCAGAATATAATTCATATCTAGGATACCGTATCATATATGTATAAACACAGGCTGGTATCGAAAAATTTGTCCGCTGTGACGGAGCGTGCTATTTTGCATAGAATCACTAGGAAATCCACACAATTTATTTTTTTACTCATATGTTTTGCTATATCAAAGAAAATTACTGACTCCATGCAATGGATATATTATTTGCGGGTAACTTTAAATTCTGTTTAAAGTCCAACAACGTTATGAGTAAAAGCTATTGAAAACGGCGTCGGAGTATCATACTCCAAAATGTACCATTTCTTTTATTTCTTTTTAATGGTACAATATAGCGACACGATAATATTTACATATGTTTTCAGCATAACTCTGAAGGTATTAATGAGATCTTTATGTATTGGGTATTTTTAATTTTTTTGATAAAAAATAATAATTAATTTCTTTGTCCGCTGTGACGGAGCAGTTTCAAATCTGAAATGCGTTAAGAATTTAGATTCATAATATATTTCTTTACAACTAAACTTTAGAGGAGCGAGCGTGTCAAATCTCTTTCGTAGAGTATTCTGAAAAATGAAACGTAATAACAGTACACAATTCAAATTCTGAGATGTATATACGACCACTCTTTAAGCTTCTTTTCTCAGTTTGTACTGCAATCCAACTTATGCATGGTAACTCATGAAAATTATAGTCAACTTCCATTTCAGTAAAGGGTATTTGCCTTTTGTAGTGCCCTCTGTGGATCCATCGGCCTGACATGGTCATTTTTTACGGTAACTTAATTATTTGAAGTAAAATGATTTGCTGAAGATGAAGCTAAATACATATAATGGTATGGACTGTGGATTGTTCTACCCTCTTTAGTCGTTCCAAAAGGTAAGTTGAATGTATCTTGAAATACGAAAATGCAAAATTTGATTTTAAGATCGTTCTTTATTTGACTAAGAGTTATGGCTATCTGATGCAACTACAGTAAAATATGTGTACAGTGAACACATATGGAGCCCAAAAATGTGTTCCCAGTTGGTATAGATGTTCACTCCATAGAGGCAATTTCATACAGAAGTCAGAGGAATATTTGATAAGAAGAGGTGTTCACTAGAGAAAGATATTCATTGATACAGGTTTTACAGTGCAGCACGTTTACAAAGACTTTTTTATAATTTTAGTCTATGCAAAACGATGAATTTCATGAATTTCAAATAATTGCAAATTAAATCTGTATTGGGATCATCTTATATACAGTAATATAATATTGTGTGGTAAAAGGTTATACATCTGTCGGCATGCATGATGTCTGTGCGCTATTTCGAATAAGTAAATTCATATTAGCCCTATTTACACTACACGTGACATTTCAAGACGTCTAGGCGAAAACGTATTAGAAATATTATGTTGAGTTTACATCATGTTGATTCATGTTGATTTCAGTACAAACCTCCGAAAAATACTAAGAGTGGTCGTTTTTATATCTCAGATTTACATTACCTCATATCTCCAAGAGGCTGCTTGTCATTATTTAGGAAAGTGATTTGTGACGTTCTCTCTTCTAAGGGTACTTTAAAAGATATAATTTGAATCTTAAATTCTTAACGTAGTTCACAGTTAAAACTGCTCCGTCACAGCTGACAAAAAATGTAAACATTATTTTTTATAAAAAATATTAAAAATACCCAATACATCAAGATATCATTAATACCTTCAGAGTTATGCTGAAAACATATGTAAATATTATCGTGTCACTATATTGTACCATTAAAAAGAAATAAAACAAATGGTACATTTTGGAGTATGATACCCTGGCGCCGTTTTCAATAGCTTTTACTCTTAGCGTTGTTGGACTTCAAACAAAAGTTAAAATTACCCGCAAATGATATACCCATTGCATGGAGTAAGAAATTTTCTTTGGTATAGCGAAACATATGAGTAAAAAAATAAATTGTGTGGGTTTCTTAGTGTTTCTATGCAAAATAGCACGCTCCGTCACAGCGGACAAATTTTTCGATACCAGCCTGTGATAAACAATTCAATGTTTTTATGTTCACATGCCTGGTAAGAAAATACATTAATTTCAGGAAAACGAAAATGTGCAGGAATTCAACTGAGTCAAATTGAACTTTTTCTTATGTTTGCAACATTGCTGCAGCAGTTTGAGATAACTCCAGAAGAGGACACTGGATTACCATCACTAGAGCCCCTTCTTGGATCAGCAGCCCAGGAACCCCAGCCTCATAAAGCTCGGTTCATATAACAGGCGTTAACTCTTAATTCTCATTTATAACTTCAAGTGTAATGATTTGTGACACAAAAATTTTCAATGGGTCCTGTCATCTAATATCACAAAGGACGATTCTCGGGTTGGAGAACGAAGTTCATCAATCTAAATGAGCATAATATCCCTGCTTCGGATAAATTTAATTTTTTACATAATATAGATTTGAATGTTTTCTTTTTAATAGTCATGCTTTAATTTGGGTAATATTTCTAGATTTTTCGCAAAAAAATATTAGCGCAGTACACTGATGAACTTCTTTCCCCAAATCGAGACTTGTATTTTATTGAATCGGTCTAATTGAGCGTTATCCCTGCTTCAGACCAATTTGTTATTTTTACATCTTGTATATTTAAATGTCCTCTTTTGAATATTCATAGTTTAATTTGGGTAATATTTCTATATTTTTCATGAAAAAAATTATTAGCCCAGGAGACTGTTCTCCAAACCAAGAATCGTCCTTTGTGAAACCACAATTAAGCCTTTCATGGTTCGCTCTTTAATCGAGAGGGTACGAAAATATGTACATAAAAAGCTCTCAACAAGGAAAAAATTTGATTGGTCTCTATAGAGAGGGGCCACACTTTCAGCAAACTCAAAGTTGTCGAATAAGCATATTTGTATATATTTGGGCATTGATTGATTGTACCAATGCCGACTGCATACTTGGTTGCTAGTCCTTGTTACAACATCTTGGAAGATGTATGAAGGTCTCCAACCTGCCTTTGTTGGCTTAGGATAAGGGGCGTTCTCCCTATGTTGAATATAGCTGCTGATGCTGGCATCTGATGATGTCTAGTTGATGTAATTATTGATGTGATGTGTAGAGATATGTTCCTAGGAACTGAATTTCAAGTTTCATCAATAATTGATAATTCATTGATAATTTAGAATTTTGGATCAGTAGGAGATTGAAAGAGATTTGGCTCAACGTGACACATGGACTTCTGTCATCTCCATTAAACAATTGTGTCAGTCCCTAGATTATCACAACTGATGAGAAGTAATAAGGTTTGTTGAAAGGAAAAATTTGTGTCATGATAATAAGAAACAAACAGATTAGTATTAGTTTTAAATATATCAGGTTAATAGACTAGGTGCGAGTAGAAATAATCTTGATTTACGTCATTAGAAATTAAAAATTCAGTCAAACTGATATCATATTTGGAATCTATATGAAAAACTACATCTAATGGTTTTGAAAAGAGTTTATCAACTTTGAAAATTTAATTTTCTTTGAAAATGTGACTTCTAGGTCGGGGAGATTCCCCCCATGTTGTAAAATCACAAAAAGTGAAATATCTTTTCTTGTGTTGGGCAGATAACAGTTTCCTTTACTGGACATATTTTAATTTGTATAACTATCAGATACATAAGGGTAATATGAAAAGTGAACCACTAAAACTGATGAATATTCAAGTTTAAGGGAACTTTGTAATACCCTGCCATGTTATTTCCCCCGAATCAGCCACCTGGTGGCGAAACTGGTAACTACCTACTCGCATCTGAGTAATTAACATTGGGTGGGATGCTACATCTTGTAAACAATTGGTTTATCTTTATCTCAATCATATTAATCCAAGATTTTTAGAATCAGATATTGGCTTAAGACTTTCACACCTCTGAAAAATAATAGAATATACAGTGTCACCAATATTCCATGTTCACAGGGGAATTTTCATAATTTGCCCCAAAAAGTGTTCCTTGTTCCCTGTTCACAGGTTTTCCCTACAGAGAGGGTCCGTTAACATGTAAGTCAATGGAAAAATATTTGGTTCTTTTGAAAAGGCTTCCTTGTTCATAGGTTTTCCCTACAGAGAGGTATTCCATCGGACAGGTTTTACTGTACTTTCAAAATATACTAAACAATACAATTCGACAAACAGAGTTTCTTGTTCATTTCAACGGGTTAGGTATAATAGAGTGTTTAAAGAGGCTTTGCTGTATAGCTTTGAAATCCAGTTGAACTGTAAAAAATGAGATTGTACTTCAACTTTGATCTATTAAAATAGTCATTTTTCTTCAAATTTACAGAAATTTACGTTTTGTGAAAGACCAGGATAAATCAACACTCACACTCTTTTAAAGATTCTAATATTAAACCAGGGTATGTTTTCCCTCACGAGTAAATAAAGAAACATAAAATCCTATTTTCTAATTTAATGTTCCAATGAATATGGACCCTACCTTATTATGACAGCCTGGTTTTCTTTGAACTTGGAGGGAGGAATACCAGCGACTAGAATAGCCCTCTGAGAGTCAGGTAGCACCTTTATCTAAAACAGCAAGAAGGATCTATGAGGGCTTAACGAGAAACACAGTGATAAATATCCCAATTTGAATTACAAAATGGCCACTATGTAATTTACACAGTATGCCCTAAACCTAATCAGATCTTGGCACTAGTCTGCTCTTACATCTGTAAAATTTGAACTGATACAAAAGTTGATCAGATACATTGTTTCCTTGAATTTTAATGACAAGATATATTTGGCACCCACCCACATGCAAAGACACAAATACACACCCATCTGCACAAGATAAAGACAACATAGTACGAGGGTTGTCCCAAAAGTAATGCACTATTTACTTCAACTTTTATAGTGCATTACTTCTGGGACAACCCTCGTACTTTGTACAAAGTGCAATAAAAATGCCCAAAAGATGTTACACAGGGCCTTTAAATGTAAAATAATGTTAAAGTTTACCATGTAATATTATTATATTATTTTCTCACAACATATTCTGCTTGGGCATGGGTTAGTCAATACAACAGAAAGTTGAGGACTTACTGTCATAGATGTGTTGGTAGAAAGACCCTGCCCATAGTTGTCCACAACAGAAACTTTGAACTTCAGTTCTTGCTTTCCAGAGTTTATGAAATTGCCTTTACTGGTTAAGTCACCTGAAATATATAATCCAAAATTGGCTTTAATATGATACATAGTTGTACTTTTTAATATGCTTCAGTTTACTGTATATTCAAAAACAATAATTATAAATTGATAACTAACAGTATTTTATTTAAGTTTTTATGAGACGATGAGAAACAAATGGAAGAAATTAGGCGCAATGTCACATTAATTAATATACTCATACATAAAATAAATATTTTGTGCATAATATCTATCATTGTGGAAGGCCACCTTTTGGTATATCAAAGAAGCTATCATATATTGGCTACACTATTTTTCCTTTGGAGTTGGGTAAACTAGCAACAGAGAGTGCCCCAATTGAAGTGTGAAAAAACTTTTTTTAAGAATAGGAGAAAAAAACATCAGAAATACATAGATTGAAGTCTATATTTTTGGGTGGTATTTTTAAAAAAATTTAGAAAAAATTGTTACTGTGTCTGGAGACCTTCAAAGAGGGTGGGGGCCAGAAGGAAAAAAATTCACATATTTTGCAACCCTCTTGATGAATTCCAATTTACTCAGCTATGAATGAATGTTTTTGATTTATCTGTCCAGGATTATGTAAATATATATTTATGTGATCCATACATACAATTGATTTAAACAATATGTACAGTTTAGAGGTAAGTAAAGCTTTGAAAGGACATTTCATGCTGAGTCTGGGTGACATTTTTATTCACTGGAGGTAGTAATCCTTTGAGTGTTTTCACATAGAGCATAACAAGTCTCCACTTTAATAAGTGCTTCTTTAGTTACATAAATGTTATATTGTTGCATACAAAGAATAATTTTGATGGAGACTTATTATGCTCGATGTGAATTTTAGAACTTTATAGAAAATTTTGCCTGCCATTTTTGTTGATTATTCAAAATGGCCAAATGCTATTCATGCTGCATATGTAGGAAGCAGGTAAATTCTCCTAGAAAACGGAGAAAGGTTACAGAAGATTTAGCTTCACAAGTCAAGAATGCCAAAGTTAGACAGATAATATGCAATAACTGTCGTCTAGATTCATTTGGTATATAGGCTTCGCTAGGCACGAGGGTTACAAAGCCAAAGAAAAACCTCTGCAAGGGCATTATAAAATTTTAGATGCTAAAATACCTGAAACATCAAGTGGTTATATGTGCACAACATCTGAATCAGGTAGTTCAAGTGATGATGAGTAAAACTAATCAGAAAACGTTTCATTGTTATTTCATTAACAAGCCAATGATGAAATGTGTTGAGATTTTAGATGTTTTTCACCTTTTAGGTGATCTCCAAGAAGTGATTATCTCCGTTATCTGTACTTACTGTTTCCTAGACATTATCAGAATGATTGATAATAAACTTAATAGTTGCTTTAAAATTATGTTGAATAATATCATTATGTTGAATCATAATATATACAGTGTGTGTGTTTAGTGTGTGGTTTTTAGCATACCCTATGTCCCTAACAGGAAGCAGGACATATTTCTCATAAAAAATAAACATTACTTTACGAGTCAAATCATGAAATGTACATTCTGAATTTAAATGAATTAAAAATAATAAAGTATTTTCATTATTTTAGGTACTTTTGTTCTCTTTCAGTGTTGCGTGGGAAGGGCAGAATATATTAATATAAATATCTCATTATTGGCAAATTGCCAATTCACTATATATTGTAATTCCAACCTCTATGAGACTAAATTCCTAAAGATATTGTGATATTTTAACCAAAAAGGTATATTTTAGTAGAAAATAATGAATTTTTTTAATTTGACCTTGACCTGGGGAATATGACCTTGACCTAAATTTTCATACATTTTTGAAACACATATATCACATAGATTAATAAAATAAAGAGAAAACTTGAAAATCAGGTGGGGCTTAAAATGGCCTTGTTTACCCAACTCCTTTACAATAAGTTAATCATATATTTTGCATGGTCAGATTTCTACCTACAACCAATGACATCATTAATTTAGTCAATATATCGTAATTTCTGTAATATATCAATTAGTGGCAGGGTTTATTGCTCTATTGAAAGTTAATTTATGCTTACCAGTTGAGGGTTGTATCTCAAACAGTTTACTGTCTGGGCCACTAATCCTGTACGCAAGTGCACTATTGTTCCCAGAATCTCTATCATAAGCCTATAAACAGTAAACATATGTAACTTATTTTAGGATTTTTCAATTTTAAATATATTTCTTAAAAAATCTGACAATTGATTTACTGATCTATAATGGAATATGTTTTATAAACTAAGCAAGTCAGGTATGCTTCCAGAAACCAAAATGTTGTCAATTGAAACAATCCATCTAAGGTTTGTAAAAAAATATGAAACACTAAGAAAATGTTTGTAATCCAACTTAAAAAATTCAGAATTAAGATTGTGCATCATACTGTATAATAATTATTTGTAATTTTGTAGTTAAAATAGTTTGTTTGTAGTAGTGCCTCATGTATCAAGTAAATAATATAGAATGTCAATAAAAGATAATGATATGTATGACAACTAAATTTCATTAGAAGATCACTGCAAAATAATTGTTTATTTTTCATATTAGAATCATAACAAAGAGACCTCAGATCTATGATTTATGGCAAAAGTATGACATTAAATCCTAAATCGCTAATACAATTCATTTCATTTGAAATCAATGCACTTGATATTGCCAGTCACCCCAACCTTTAAAATGGCCATACTCACCTGTACTGTGTATATTAGATAACCATATGATACATCAGGGGGTACCCCAGCAAGTATAGGACTATAGTAGAAGCTGGGGTAGTTGTCGTTGATGTCTTCTATATCAATGTTGAGTATGGCCTTATTCAATGGCCCTGTAATCAAGAGGAATAATTGTTAATGCTAAACAGACCTATATAGCTGGTTGTCATTAATTACTTTGAACAATGTTTCATTTCTGAAAAGTTTAATGAGTAGATCATGTGTGACATTATTTAATCAAGTTGCTATTCAGCTAATCAGAGAATTTCATGAGTAGATATCAAAAATCTTGAAAGAATAGCATTTTTCTGTGAACTTATTGAACGACCTGGTATATGGGTGAATCTTCACTTACGATTCTTATCTTGTAGATGTCTCACAGGAAGTTGAGTTGTGTTTAGTCTGTCACATCTGACCAGCAGGTTAAAACTTGATGTATTCTCTCTATCTATCTGCTCCTCTCTATAAACTACACCTGTAGTGGCATTTATACTGAACACACCTGTAATCACAAATATTCAGATATATATATTTATCCCATACTTGGACGTGTTACAGGTACATAAAGCTGGTTTGTAAAAACTTATATTTTCATCAGCGGGCAGATATAGCTTTACGTCCCGCTCCGAGCGGGCAGATATAGTATATCTGCCCGCTACGTCATAATCGCCGCTCGCATATTTATTCATTATTTGTAACGTTCGTGTAATGACTGCGTAAACGACAATGGGGAAAACACAGACAATCGGGATCTGTTTGATGGTTTAAAAAAGGGAAGGAGCATCCACTTATTCAATCAAAAATTCGAGAAAATAAATGTGGGAATATTTGAGAGAAGAGGAAAATCCGCCCACAGTCAAGAAAACAAAACTGGACATGAATCTTCTGAAATATTTCCACGATTGAACAATGTGAACCAGATGACCAAGATTGGTATGGGATAAACATATTATCCTATAGTCGGTTCAGGATATTGGGATTATCCCTTGGCCAATATAATATATTTCCCTCGGGACCTGCGGCCCTCGGGCAAATATATTATATTTGCCTCGGGATAATCCCAATATCCTGAACCTCATATAGGATAATCTCTATTTATCCCATGGTTGAGGTCAAATCTGTAAGATGAATTTTGTAAATATATTTTGAAAATGCGTGAAAAAGCGATATCTGCGGAATGTTCCACAGATATCACATTTTTCCATGGATTTGAAAATGTGACGTGTATCGTTACTTGATAATTTCATGATGTCACATGATGAATGAATAAATGAATGTTGTTTTAATTGAAATGCTTGTTTTAGTTTTATTTGTGAACAATGGGTGTTCTTTTGTGTTGTGAGACCTGTCTTCACGATCAGAAAAATATTCACAATCCAAGTTATAGATCATCTGAAATTATTTGGTATAACCTGATAACCTACGTGGCTTTTTAGTACATTCCACGTTATCAGTTTAACATGCTTTTTGGCACATGAAAATGTTTTCCAAGTATGTATACGAAGCAGTTGACGTGGTCCAAGTACTCTCACAACTCAAACTTTCGTAATATCGTCACAGGATAAAGGTTATATATTAATTGAGCTTTTTCACACCCAATATTTAGAGGGGGCTCATATCTGATGAACATTTCCAATTTTTTATAAAATCACACAGAAACTGTCTGGCTTCAAAGATGCAAAAATAATTTGTATGGATGGTGTATCTTGAACACCATTTTTTATGAATGCTGGGACGCTGTATAAAAACAACAATTTAAAAATATATAGGTCTGGGAATGGTTTAATGCATTACTATGTCGCCATAGAATGAATAACACTATTATTTTCACAATTTTATTGGTCCCCCTTTGCAAAAACTGGTTACTGGTCTGGATTTTGTTGTATATTTAAGTTAACCTACCATAAGTGTTGCCAGAGAGAATTGAGTATTTAATAGGTTTCCCATTACTCTCATCTGTTGTGTTTAAATCCACTATCATCTCCCTATCAACCTCCTCTTCAATAATAGACCTGTTATATTGTCTCTGGTAGAATACTGGAATGTTAGTCTCTTCTAATATGTTGATTTTCACCTGTTAAAAGCAATGCAGTAATATTATATAGAGAAGTACACTTTTGGAAATACATGTACAACCCTTTATTACCATGCAACACAACTCCAAATGATTCTTCCATTGATTCAGACTTAATAAGACTCAACAACCAAACCAACTAACCACAGTATAAAAAGTTTATTTAACACATGGTCATTAAACATAAATACCTCCCACGAAACACCATGTTAAAGGGGTGCATCAATAGAACGTTGTGATAGGTGATAATTTACAGTGGAACGAGGGGGAATTTCATCAATAAATACTATGACATAAATTGTACTCGGTGACCCCCATTAATGAGCATGCACTTACCTTGGTGGTATCATTGAGTGTTATATCTGATATATTATGAGCTATAATATGAAGCTGGAATGTAACATTGGGGAATGCAGCAACCGATTTGGCCAGGTAGATCACCCCATTGGTGTGGTTGATTGCAAATATACTGCCATTGTTGCCACCTGAAAATACATTCAATATAGAGAAAATAGCATGCTGGTCAACAGTTTGAATTCTGTCCCAATAAGAGAAAAAGCCATGACAAGAAAGAAACTTGTTTATTCTAGGGCAGTTTTTTTATAATCTATACTGTTCAATCACAATACATGTAATATATATAATAGAGGAGGGATCAAACAGAAATGTTTTGATCTAACCTTACATAGAATATTTTTTCTAAATAAGCTTAACTCCCCTTTCCAGACACCTAAAGAAAACTTGATTCACTTTTTTCACCGAATATATTTCCAAAACCTGAACTAATGAACTGAACTCTTTACCTAATATTGCATAGTTGTAAGTCATTGGACCTGCATAGACTTGAATAATGGAAGAATTGACAGCATGGCTGTTGTATATATCCACAGTATAGAGATCCTGCTCAAACCTAGGCTTTTCAACAGTCTCATTGGCCCAGATATCTAAGCTAACAGTGGAAGATCTGGAAATAACATGTTTGAAAAGATATAGGTTGTTTACTTGGGGGTGTGAAATATGAGGCATATCCCAGGCCCCACGGACAACACTGTATTTTTATGAGAACAAAAACATTATGAGAACCTTATTTCATTTCATTTATCAGAAAAACCATTGTGTATTTATTCATTTTGAAACAAGGCAAGCTTTAGAGATGCCACTTGTAGGGCAATTGCAGACTTAATATCGAAATGTTAAAACAGACAGATGGATGGAACAACTAATGGACAGACGGACGGTCAGTCGTACAGACAGATGGACAGAGCCAGTCTCTATATCCCATATAATAATAATACATGTTCTTGTGACACATGGAGTCCCAGTGAAAAAACACATTACATAGTTGCTTGACCCACCTTCTCAATCTAGCAGGAAGAGCCTGGTCAGTGGCCCTGACCCCAAGGAAGTAAAAGTCTTCCTGTGGGATTCTCTTTAAGCTGACCCTCCCATTGATGGAGTCCATATGGAAGGTGGACTCCCAACCTGGGGATCCAAACTGGACGTCATAACGTACTTCTGCATTGGCACCTTCATCTGTGTCATTGGCATACACCTAAATGAAAGTACATAATATTATAAAATATCATAGGATTTACACCTGGTATGTTGGAGTGTCTCAGTAGAATTCATGACAACAGGCAAAATTATGAAACAGTTGCCAAATTCCTAAAATCATCAGGCAAGTTTTAAACAACCAGAGAATATCAACTAGCATATCCATGGGATACATGTACTGTGTGTGTTTTAAATTTAGATTATTGATACTGCATTAACATTACATGTATTGGTAAAATAAATAGGTTCATGGTATAAACAAAGTTGGCAAAGCATCTGAAACTACTTGACACATATTAAATACAGAATACTGTTATCATGTTGTCTTCAAGAGTAAAATATACTTACATAGCCCACAGTGTGGTTGACCTTCATGCTTGGTCTGACCTTGAACAGGTAGCCAGGGAGGCCAGAGGGTTGTTGGAAGACCGGAGCATTGTCATTTACATCTGACAGTGTCACATACACCCTGGAGCTATTGCTTGAGAACTTTTCTTCAGTCTTAGTTTCTTGTGCATACACCTTGAAATGCACAATATGTTTATTATCTATATTAGCACAGTCTTTATTCCACATATTTGTGGATGGTAATTTTAACTATATTTAATCCAAAAATAAATGTTACAGTAAGTGAACAGATTATTCTATGAATTTCCAATATTTGGGTTTATCATGCACCTTGTCTAGATACTGAAATCTGATTGGTTCTAAGCTGCTGGTAATTTGGCCATATCTGGCTTTTCTAAAAAACTGCCCAATATTTTCAACAAGGTCAACAGGGTTAAAAAGCAATAAAGCCACAACTGATTATTCATCGCTAAAAGCAAAAATATCTCAATAAAATCACGAGAAGCAAAATAATATATTAAATACAATCAAGTACACAACTCACTGTAAATTCAAAGTATTGGTTTGTCTCTCTGTCAAGGAGGTTGCTGTTAAGAACAGATACAATCCCAGTAGTACTGTCAAGTTGAAAGCCACCACTTGTGTCCATTATCTTGTACTCAAACTCAGCATTTGATCCCTGAAAAGATGACATACAGATGTGTATGAACATGTATCTTTGAATATATGATTATAATGATTTGTCTACATGTACATTATACACATTTGCTTAAAAACGGGCATTTTGTAGATGTGTTTAGAAAAAAATATTTCAATGATATAATATAAAGTTAATTCAAGACACATACAGTAAAACAGGTCTATAGGAACACCAATTCTCAGCATGTGTTCAGTTAACTTTTTGTGGATCGACAGGTTTTACTTAATACAGCTCTTATGGTAAAATGAATAGAATGAAAAATGACACCTTTCTATGTTTCTGTTTGAGCAAATCCCAGTTCCCAATAAAACAAATGTTAATTTGATATACCTCATCTGCGTCAGTGGCGCTGACTTGTGTCACTAGCAGTCCTTCAGGAAGATTCTCAGGGATCGTCACATTGTATGTGTGTGATGTCATAATAGGCTTGTTGTCATTGACATCCTCTACATCGATAGTTAGTGAGGCATAAGCACGTCGTGAAAGAGGCTTGTCAGTCTGGTAGGCCTGTAATGATAAATCATATGATTAGATTTGAGACATGACAAATCTCATTTTTGGGAAAATAGTACTTCTCTTTTCTGTCATTAACTGTTACTTATTACTAATTATAAAACCAATGGCCACTAAATCATAAAGTTCAAATAAGTTAGCGTGTCATTATTTCTAATATGACTTGAAAACATATGTGATTTCTTCATGTTCAAATCCCTGCCTATCTACATTATGTGTGTATATACATGTTAGGTATTGAGCGAGAGAAAATATACACCTCATCATGGTCAGGTGAAACCATTCTCGTATGACGACTGTAATAAAATCCTAGATTATTACAATTATGCAATATAAGCTTGCGTGGGGAAGTAACTAATTGACTTATTGAAATAATATAATACTCTGTCAATTGATCATGGAGCTTCTTCCCTTATAATCCCAAACCTTATTAAGCCTATACAATTACAAAGTAATATCGCACCAACTGAAAATTCATCAATGTGTTTCTAATATACACATCTCAAGAGAGAAGCTGTTTCGAAAATGTTCTTTGGTTTAATTTATCTAAATGTGTGGATGTTACTTATAATGGGCATCAACAGTGACAGACAACCCTTGGAAAAATGTGACGGCACTTTAGTGAATTATGAATCTAATAATGAAATCTGTCTGCACTCGGCAAGCAGCTGTATGGGGAGATGTGGAAGTTATACTAATGATACAGAGATGACGTTTACATGTTCGTGCGACTCTAAATGCACCTTATACAAAGACTGCTGTGATGATTTTACACATGAATGCCCCGATGAATCTAAAAGGGCAAATGAGGATGAAATCCATCCAAAGTGCACAGAAACAAAAGGAAACTTTGGAAGTGTATTTCAAATACTAGACTGCCCGAGTGATTATCTGGACATAAGCATCAAAATCAAATGCTTGTTAAATAAACAAAAGAAATTTGGAATATCAAGCATTCCTGTAGTAGATCCAACTACAGATTTTCATTATGGAAATGTATTCTGTGCTATTTGTAATGGAGTTAATCCAGCACAGACAGTTGCTTGGGAGGTTCAAATCTCCTGTCCTAAATTCAAGATCTTTAACTGTTGGAACAACATGGCTGAAATCTTGACACTTCTTCAGAATGATGTCCAAACAGGGAGCAACATGGCAGACATCAACATAGAATATAACCCATATGTGGTCCCTGAATCTCCTCCAAGAATATGTGCAGTAACAGTTGACTACTGCACCGGTAAATGCCACAATGATACTATTGTCAACATGTGTGTCAAAACAAAAGGTGCGATCGTTCATGATATCCACATGATACCCTACAAGAATTTATACTGTGCTATATGTTCATCAGATAGAATGATAAGAGCTGGTGGGATGATACTATGTGGCTACAAAGCTCCGTTGAAGATCTTGAATTTTATCCAATACTCTGTCAAAGTACTGTTTGACTTCAACAGAGATGGCACTGATGCTTACGCAACAACACTTATACCAATGTTAGGGTACATGAACCAGGATCCAATCATGTATACATGTAGAGTAAATGACAAGTGCGTCATAGAGGACTGTGACTCCACTAGCGCAACAGTGAGCCAAAATCGCAGTGTATGTATCCATCAAAATACATGGGTTGTCGAAGTTCATGTCAAGGTCATCAAACCAGAACAAAGTTTGCGTGACAATATGATTTTAGTTATTCAGCAGTCTTTGATGAACAGTGTGTTGAATGGTACAGGGACCATTACATTTAGAACTAGGCCAAGATACCAGGAGGATATGCAACTTTCTATGGCATTCATATTTGAGAAACATTTCTCTCAAAATCAAATTAAACGGCTCATAAATGAAACATTTTCCAACCTTGAAAATTTGAACTGTACAATTCAAAATGTTAAATTTCATGATGGGAAAGATGAAAATCAGACAACACTTGAAAATAAGACAAAGTTTGAAAATAAGTTGAAGAGTAATGAGCAAAATATGGCTAGTGGGACATTAGACCAAAACAGGGTGAATGGTGGAAGGATCTACATTGTGGTGATTGTTTGGAGTTTTATTTACTTTGCTCCATATGGTTGAACTCTTGATGTGTAATTACATTGTGTCATTTGTGCCTTCATGTTTATGAAATACAACTTACCATAATTCTCATGTTAAATTGTTTGATATTCTCTCTGTTCAGCACTTGTAATGGTATGACTTCTCCAGTAGTTATATTCAATTTGAAGTATGTTTATGAAATACAACTTACCATAATTCTCATGTTAAATTGTTTGATGTTCTCTCTGTTCAGCACTTGTAATGGTATGACTTCTCCAGTAGTTATATTCAGTTTGAAGTATGTTTATGAAATACAACTTACCATAATTCTCATGTTAAATTGTTTGATATTCTCTCTGTTCAGCACTTGTAATGGTATGACTTCTCCAGTAGTTATATTCAGTTTGAAGTATGTTTATGAAATACAACTTACTACAATTCCCATGTTAACTTGTTTGATATTCTCTCTGTTCAGCACTTGTAATGGTATGACTTCTCCAGTAGTTATATTCAGTTTGAAGTATGTTTATGAAATACAACTTACCATAATTCTCATGTTAAATTGTTTGATATTCTCTCTGTTCAGCACTTGTAATGGTATGACTTCTCCAGTAGTTATATTCAGTTTGAAGTATGTTTATGAAATACAACTTACCATAATTCTCATGTTAAATTGTTTGATGTTCTCTCTGTTCAGCACTTGTAATGGTATGACTTCTCCAGTAGTTATATTCAATTTGAAGTATGTTTATGAAATACAACTTACTACAATTCTCATGTTAAATTGTTTGATGTTCTCTCTGTTCAGCACTTGTAATGGTATGACTTCTCCAGTAGTTATATTCAGTTTGAAGTATGTTTATGAAATACAGCTTACCATAATTCTCATGTTAAATTGTTTGATGTTCTCTCTGTTCAGCACTTGTAATGGTATGACTTCTCCAGTAGTTATATTCAGTTTGAAGTATGTTTATGAAATACAACTTACTACAATTCTCTTGTTAAATTGTTTGATGTTCTCTCTGTTCAGCACTTGTAATGGTATGACTTCTCCAGTAGTTATATTCAGTTTGAAGTATGTTTATGAAATACAACTTACTACAATTCTCTTGTTAAATTGTTTGATGTTCTCTCTGTTCAGCACTTGAGTATGACTTCTCCAGTAGTTATATTCAGTTTGAAGTATGTTTATGAAATACAACTTACCATAATTCTCATGTTAAATTGTGTGATGTTTTCTCTGTTCAGAACTTGCAATGGTATGACTTCTCCAGTAGTTATGTTCAGTTTGAAGTATGAAACATCACTAATGTTATTCCCTACAGATATAATGATATACACATCATAGTTTGTAACATGCATTTATATTTTGAGAGAATAGAAGACATTTTTCAAAATTTAAATGCCATGTGTTATATTTCATTGAAAATGTAAAAATGATCTAAGAAAAATTCATGTTGCATAATGTAAAAGTACAAAATAATTTTAAGAATTCCTTATTCACACAAATAACTTAGGATAAAACATTTGAAAAGTTCGGATATTTCACTTGAAGATTCTATTAATGTTGTTTGCCACATCATTTTGTATGTTATACTTTATAAAAGACTGTATAAATAAAACTTCGACGGAAACACATTGCAATTATAAATTGAATTTTTATTCATTTATACATTAACTAACTATTTACTGCTAATGAGTACCCTGCATGCAGAGTCTAGTTAAACTACACTCTGCCTAGTAGAGACCATATTACAGTTTAGTAACCCCGCCCCCGCGACGGGTACCGGTACGAGAGTTTGGGTAATAAATCACTTTTGACCTACGCGCTAACCTTTTGTTCCACCAATCAGCGAGCTTGAAGAAACATATGCCAAATGCGTTCTGATTAAATATGCGCGTGTCATTGGTCAATTTCGGGCTCAACGATGACGTCAGAAGAATGACCATATATAGAACGTCGGTCAAATTTGGCCGACGAACACTGATTGGCGCGGTGAGTTCACAGGTTTATTTTAGTTTGAAAGAGTGAAGACGAAGCTCTCTTTTAAGAAGTGAAGTCAAACGATTGCAAAGGGTAGCTAATGAGTCCAATTAATGAGTCAATATACATTTTAATACGACCTGAATAAATAAATGAAATAATCTTAGTGTTTTTACCTCTAACAATGTCATAATGAACAGGTTGATCGATACCCCTGTCTTTATCATATGCTCTGATTGCTGGTTCTGTCTTCAGGTTCTGGCCAACCATATCAGAACTCTATAAATACAGTAGAAAAACACTCTCTCTCAAAGAAGATAACGAGTCACACCCAAATGTCATTCTACATGTTATAATCCTAATACAGCCCTCTCAACATCATGAGGTTGATCATCTCTAATTTCTTTGTTTTTCAATATATCTTTTATGAAAGTACATAATGTGCAGCATAGAATGTCTTATTAATCTAGGAAAAGATATTTAGTGTAGCAGAAATATTAAATTCCCACAGTATTATACCAAAACATACCCCTTCTGGTAGAGTGGAGTGAGTCTTATTATACTTGGACATACCCTTTCTAGCAGAGTGAGTGTTATTTTACTAGAACATACCCCTTCTGGTAAAGTGAGTGTGTACATCTCCTCAGTAAAGACGGGGTCTTGGTCATCAGCATCTGTAACTTCTATAGTTAAAGTGGTCCAGTTGCTCTTAGGGTTTGGAAACATGCCATCCTGGAAATACAGAAAAGATATTTTTGATCATTAAATAATGGAAACAAATTTTTGATCATTAATTCATAGACGAGGAGTGCTCATTAACCTTACATGATTTATTTCACAAATCCAGTTTACTAAAGTTTTGTGAGTTAAATCAATGACTTAATTTTTTGATAATTTGAGTTTTTCCAGAACTGTATAAGTTTATGACAACTGATACTAAAGTCTAATGAAGCATTTTAACATTTGAGTCTCTAAAATCAAATATAAGAAGCTTACGTTAGCTGTTACATTAAGTGTGTATGATTTATCTCCATAATCGTAGTCTAATTCCCCAACAAGATCTATTCGGCCATCTTGTGCTGAAGCAGACCGCATTGCAAACTTGCCAACCGTGCCACTCTGTAATATAATAAAGAGGTTATTAATCATCACATATGTACCCAGCCTTTGGATAAATATTTATTATTAAAAATATTTTATTCATCTATATATTACATTACATACATTTTATTGATACAGTTTAACGAATGGGATTGGACAAAAGGCTTTCGCCTATTCTAAGTCCTCTCCTGGATAGATATTTGAGGTGCAGACCAAAAGTATACCTTAAATACGCCTTACTTGTTTTCAATACTTTATTTCATGAAAAATATAAGTTTACATAAGAACATTTTTTGATGAATTAATTTTTAACATTTGTTAATTGCTTCCTCTATTGTGGATTTATTTACAATAAAGTAACAAATAAATGTAAAATTTTCCAAAAACTTAAAAAATTCTTCCAAGACACATTATTTTCTACACTCCATAGGTTGGATCAAGTAAGCAATCATTATTTCAACCATTTAATTTTATGCATGTATTAGATATGCTTAAGCTTTCAAAACAAAGCAATATTGTATCTTAGTTGATAACTAAATCAACTAAATTGAAGTGTTTGATCATGTTCTCAATATTTTTGTATAAATTGTCTCAATGAGAACTAAAAATTTCAAAATGTATACTCTCAGCTCTGGGTCAGTTTTTGTGCTTGTGCGTGAATTTTTCATTTAATTTTCAATGTATCTTCTTCCATGTACCACAATCAAAAAATATTGATTAGGCGCTAGGCGTAATATGTTTCTTCAAATCATTTTATAGACTATTCTAAAACCAAAAGTATGGGCGACAATAACTGAAAAGAATAGGTTGTCTATGGCTGCTTGTGCTTAAACAATATCAATAAAGAAAATATTTGGATATACTACTTAAGGTACCCCATGCAGATAATAATAATTATTGTTTAATATCTCATAAAACGTATGATGCAAAAATATGATACATAATATGATATATAATATGATACATATAAACCTTTAAGAAAGAATTAATATTCCAAAAAATTACAAATCACATAAAAATCAAATTGATAAAAGGCTGTGAAAGAAAAATTAAATACAAAAAGTATGCAGAAACCTCATGAACCCCTTTTATATTTAATATATTCATTTAAAAGAATTCTTTAAAGACAATCTGATCAGTAATTACAAATACAAAATGAAGCTATAGCAATGTGTAATGGCAGTTACATGTCAATATAAATACATGTACATGTACATGCACATGTATAATATAAATACATGTACATGCACATGTATAATATAAATACATGTACATGTATAATATAAATACATGTACATTGTACATGTGCCTGTAAAATATAAATACATGTACATGCACATGTATAATATAAATACATGTACATGTGCCTGTGCAATTACTTTTAATACTTTACCATTAATGCCTATGGAAGCCAAATTGAGATATCATATACATTATACAGTATACAGAGTTACAAATATTATAATTATTTGCAGAATTTACCAATGAATATAGTATTTCAATAGCTATTTTTAGAATATGTATAATACTCAATAAAATCTATGTCAAGAATATTATGAAATGTCAATCAATAACACAACAAAAACTAGATAACGGCAACTCCGCGGAGTAGCAAATCCCAACGAACAAAATATCAATTACCGAATTCCAATCAATTATCAATTACTTTGGTTGAAAATGAAAAAATTAGATTTTAAAATTGCGAATTCCTGCAAAGCAGCCATTTTGAATTTTCTGAGGTACAAATCTGAAAAATAATACCATAATTGTGATCTACTCCAAAATTCCTTCAATTTGAGTATAATATAGCCATACTTTGAAGGGATCGAAAAATTATTGCGAAATCGTACATTAGACGGCCATTTTGAATTTTACGAGGCTCCAATCAGAAAAAAGATACAATATTTGCAATCTACTCTTAATTGCCTTTCATTTGAGTATAATAAAGCTATACTTCAGAAAGATCTAAAAATTAGCGAAAATTTCTGTTTTCCTGTCCCCCCATACATGGCCCCTGGGGGTCAGGATGAAAGACACGGAATATATGTGAAATAGATAAATGTTGTGAATACACTACCAAAATTTCAAACAATAATATTAATTACTTTGGTTTAGAATGAAAAATTTATGATTTTTGCGAAAAAGTCCCGTCATTTTTAAAGCGGCGGCCATCTTGAAAAAATTTTTTTTTGCATAAAACTATTCACCAATATACATCTTTCCACTAAATATGAAGAAAATCTGTCAACTAGTATTTGAGTTATCTTCCGGACAGACGGACGGACTGACTGACTGACTGACGGACTGACGGACTGACGGACAGACGGACAGACGGACGGAGGGCTTCACTATATCCCTAACGAACTTCGTTCGTTGGGATAATAAAGAATTACAATGGTAGGTGCCAATAAGTACCACAATACAATGTAAAAATCATTCATTATGGAGTATGATTTTGGTAACAGAGATAAAAAATATTGTCTTCTAAAATTCAAACAATCAGCTGTACATAATTCACTAAACAATTCACTAAACTTTTAACTGTTGATGCAGTGTACTTTCAAATATCAACTACTACTACTAACCTCTCTCTGACCAATTAAACGTCATTATTCACATAATGGTGCTCATAAAACATATTGTACTTACAGGTTCTCCAAAACCATATGACATTGGACTCTCAATTTCATAATCGTCATCAGTGGCCAGTCCTCTCAGAGTAAATACAGGGGAACCAACAAGAGTTTGCTACAATAGTAAACGCGCACATTTAAGATTATGGTGAAAATATCAGACAGTATGCTCCTTAAGGAGAAAGAGGGAGTTAAACTACTAATACTGAAATATATCAGAGTATTATATTATAAAGCTAAATCCATCTCCTGCAGAAGATAATGTAACACATTTTAATAATCTACTCATAGATTGAAAAGCAATTTACAGGCATCAAGCAGTAAACCTGAGATTCATCAACTCTCAGCAATTAATGGATGAGATATCTCATCAAATGGACATAATCGTTGAAGTCTGAGGACAAGTAAATCACACATGAAAATCAAATGTGATCCAGGATAACATGCATGTGACAACTCTATTCCACTCGTGCAAGATGTTAGTAAAAAATTGTAAATGATGGGAGCAAATTCTCTCCTCTGGTAAGAGTAAAAGACGCAGATGTACATCAAATAGTCTACGATGAATATCGATAGCATGTGGAGTGGAGTGAAGAAGAGATATGTTTTTGGGTGGCATTGTCCATTTATAATTTTCACCTTTCACTTAATTTTACAAAATTTGAGCGGAGCCTTTCGGCTCAGTTAAGATTAGGAATTTTACCCCTGCACATAGAAACAGGGCGATTTAGAGGAGAAAAAGTTGAAAATAGAATTTGTACTTTATGTAACAATAATGAGGTTGAATCAGAGGCCCATTTCCTATTTTATTGTGAGGTATATAAGGACCTTCGGGAGAAATATTTTGGTAATTTGAATCATCATGTACAGCCTAATGGCTTAAGAATTAAATATCTTTTTGAAAATGAGACTTGTAAAATTGTTAAATATATTAGAGAGGCATATGTAAGAAGACAGCAGCTGATTTATAAGGATCCATGAACCTGTAACTTATATTTATATTTTGAATTTGTTATTAAATGTTATTTGAAGTGGTTAATGGGTTGTTTTACATAAACTTATTTTGTTTGACTTTGTTGTATAGACTTACCACTATAAATAAAAAATAAAAACAAACAAACAAACATATAATTGATAATTGCCCATCTCTCAAAGATTCTTTCATGGCTTTATCCACTCCAAAATGTTTCTAACGTGATAATACTTTTTATACCCTGATATATAAATATATATATTGATATCAACCTTGTTCTAGAACTTACCTCGCTGATCTTTTTCACATAAGGGGCGCATTGGAAATATGGGGCATGGTCATTCAAATCTGTTATAGACATGATTATAGAGGAAGAGATTTCAATAGGATCTCCCTAAAATATAAAAACAAAATCTATTTTTTCATCAACACTGTTTAGAGGTATATTTTTAAAGTGAAATGGATGGATAAATGTTTTACATTTAATCTTAAAGAGGGATGTTGGGATAGGAAAGCACAATCAAGACCCCCCCTGGAAATCCATATGTTATCTGATAAATTAGTTTATCAGTATTGGTTATGTGACCACCAAACGAACTCCGTAAATGGCAGTTCTGGATATTCTAAAAGAAATTGACAACTAGCTTTGAATCTGATTGGCTGCCTGGCTCAAGCCGTGTGGCTGGGGGGAAACCCAAGGTGTAATTTATCTTTAATGTAATTCAATTTTTGGTCTAGTACATAAAAGACATTCATAGTTATATACTCCTGATTTCTGTTTTTTAATTTAGTACCCCCCATCTCCAACAAAGTTAAAAATTCTGTCAGATTTAGGAAACTTACCAGATTTTTACACTTAATTTTGTATTGCACTCGTTTCACATCCTAAAAAATAATAAAACAAAACCTTTAATAATTAACAGTCTCTTCAAACACGACCATGCTCTAATTGAATTTCTCAACCAATCAGAATGCAGCATAGCCAATAATGAATGTTCTCTGTTTCTCCATACATGCACGACCGTTCTCTATTCAATCTGCTTCCAGGAATCTATGTACATGTATTGTGTTACATTATGACGTCACACCTGGGAATGGCAAAAATAACAGTTTTGGTCCCAATTCTCTGAATAAGGTTTTCATTTTTATGTTTGAATGGGAATAAATAATGATAGTCCATTCAATATGGTGAAATTCTACACTCAGTGGACAGAATGTCAGTACAAATGCACTCACCTTTGGTTCGTGCTTTGTACGGCATTTCGTCCAACTCATGCTGAATTTCACCATATTGAATGGACTATCATCATTTATTCCTTAATTGATAATTATTTCATGATTAGCTCAATGATGAGCTAAGAAAACTTCAGTAGTATATGTTACAGAACATAGGTGATGTTAACGAGGAGCTAGATCAATCTCAGGAGGTAATGCCTCGGTCCTACACAAAAATCAAAATATCAAGAATTTGGAGGAAAAATGGACACCATGGAACACAAGCGGGCAATGTTACTTCAAAATGCTTGTTAGTTTACAAAAATGGTACTTTCTACTTGCGCACAATGACACTAGTGTAAGACATGTTTTGCAGCTATATAAATTATTCATGACAAGTCTGAGTTGTACTTACTTTATCTGGGGTTCTGTCAGGAATTCCTGTGTAATTGCATGGTAAATCTTCACTTGTGGTTGGTTTCTGAATTGAAAATGAAAATAATATTAATATTAATAATAAAATAACTAAAAACTCTAACGTCTGTGCTCCCGCCAACAAATTAAAAAAAAAATTCAGCAAAAAGTTCTAATTTACCACAAGAACCAAAACATTAGAAACACAATAAAAACATGAATTTGATTTGTTAATCCACTTGGCATTTTTGTCAAAATTACAATACTGTATGGCAAATATAAAACCCTCTAAGTGGAATTCATTTGGTTTCTCTAAAAAGTGTTCTACTTGGGAGGTGTTCCACTTATAGAGGCTTCAACATCAAGTCAGTTGGTCTTTGGACTCTGAAGTGTTCCACTAACAAAGGTGTTCCACTTCAGGTGTTCCACTAAACAGATTTCACTGTACATTTTTTTCCAACTTACCGCACGGGGTCTACTTGGATTGAGGTCATCAAGAAGCAGGGATCTTGCGAGTCGTACATGTTGAATAGGCTCGTCAAGTTCTGTTAATTCTAAATATCCATTAGGATCTTCAGGTCTTGGGTCCCAATCATTATCTGGTTCTATAGTTAAGTTCACAAGACTTGTATCGACCGTCAAATTAAAGAGAATAGAGCCTGGAAATAAATTAAGAAATCAAAATATATAAATTTATAACAAAAAAAGATTTTTGACATTACAAAATCTGAACAGAGAAGATTTTTCAATTTTTTAAGAATTCTACCTCATGTTGCCTGGTGACATTTATAAATTATAATAAATCAAAATATGAGTGATTTGCTAAATGCTATGATATATAATCAATCCAAAATCTTACCTATAGGATGATCTTCACGAAACGTCCCAAGGAATAAACCCGATGGACATTGCTGCTCTATAAATATATAAGAGGTTACATATATAATAACTCATTTACATAAACAAACAAAATACAAATTAATACATAATACATATATCTGGGGTATAGCCAAAAAGGAGAATTTCAATTGCCGAGGCAAATAATACTTTGATTGTTTCAGTTTCAGTAGAATGGAGAGAATTGTTATTAGATATCTAAAATGTAGTCAAAGTAATAGCACATTTGTAATCTTAATTCATACTTTGCTATAAATATATTTTAAATTACAATTATATAAGGTTTTGGAAATTGTCATTGAAAATCTCGGGAGATTTTAAACCCGCTGAATTCTACAGTCACCAGAATCATACCATATTGTACTATAATCTGAACTAAACCAGAATTATACAATAATATTGCACCATAATCAGAACTATACCGGAATTGTACAATATTCAGAGTTATACCAGAATTATACTAGAATTACACTAGAACTACTTGCAATAGGCAGTGTGATATAATAATTTGAAAAACACTTTTTTTATACTTTATCATAGTGTATATAATAATATATAATACTATGTTTATCTGATCATAAGATGAAATCCCAAAACAATGCAGGCCCGTAGCCAGAATTTTCCAAGGGGGGGGTTCGTTTTTCTAAAAAATTCTAGTGGGGGTTCACTTTGGCAAATATGGCCAAAAATCACTCAAAAATTAGTCAGAATGGTGAAAAACTGCATGATTTGGAAAGAAATTTTGGCCAGGGGGGGGGGGTCGTCCGAACCCCCCAAACCCCCCCCCCCTGGCTATGGGCCTGCAATGGATATGCAACATGTATACAGGGGTTAAGAATGGGTACTTATAAACAAAATCACCATGTAAGCTAAACACTTCAGCTGCTATGATAGACATCATGGTTAAATGTTGAGTACCAGTACAAAGTGTTGTCTTAACCTCATAAATGTCAGTGTATTTTGTTAGAAAAACTCTTGCAAGTGCAATGTGATTATATTCTGATTATAAACTTTAATTCATCACTCTCTACAAAACAATGCAATGCAATCAAATTATCAGAGAATAGAATCCAAAACAATAAAATATCTCTCCTTGAATTATTCGCTGGTGAAATAAAGTATACACATTTTTAACCTTGTCATTTTCTTAAAACACAAACATATTTTATAGGTAGGGAACTGTATAATACTCCAGGCAAAACAACTCAAATGCAAATTAACATGAGACCTTTTGTATAAATGTACTTAGGTTTTCGTCAGAAGAAGTTTTTATTGTAATGAGGTATTTATTCATTGTTTTAATTATAGGGACTCACAATTATGTAAATGAAGGATGTATAAGTGTTATATATCATTGTAAAGCATTGGATACAACATTTTGAAGTCAATTTAGTCTGAATGTCTAAGCTTTTTTAAATTACTTTGTATGTTTATAGTTTGCCAAATTTTACTCCATGTAATATATCAATGCTATAGAAAACATTTTTGCTTTCAAATGATACCAAACATACAGTGTACTGAGTAATTTTTGGAAAAAGCTTCATATTAAATTTTGATCTCAAGATTTTGAAGACAGGACTTGAACTCATACAAAACTGCTGCTGCTGTATGTTATTGAATTATTCGTTTTAAAACATTTGGGAATTGCACATTCTTGAGAGAGATCAACTCTGAATTTGACAACTTCCTTACCAGTAAAACACAAGTGCCTGACTTGCTGATAGCATTGTCTCCTCAACTGACATTGACTACTCATCCCAACAAGGGAGGCAATACCCAGAAAGCAATTCTTAATATGGTCACAAACCAGATTCAAGCCTATCATACAAGTAGACACGGTATTAACATCTAAAATGTCACTACCTACCATTTGTTACAGACACTGAACAGACCACTTAACTCCATACACCAACTGCCATCACCAAAAGTTGGAGTTTGAGACCATCTAACAATATGTCAACACTTGTGGTGGTGACATAACAAACATACTTGACTGGTCCAAAGATTCTAAAAATTTAAGGTTTATTAATATAACTGTAAAGTTCATTGTATAGGTTCATCACTAGCTAGGACTATTAAAATATTCACTACACATGCACTTTTCCCATACACAAAACAAATTAACCTTTGTATTGTTAAAATGAACTGAGAAATGAGTATGCGTAGGAATTTCAAATTTGAAAATGAAATAGTGAGATCCGTTAACATAAGAGTACGATTTCTGATTAGAAAGGATATCAATTTCTGCATGTATGAGAATTGAGAATATCTTTAATGCCTTTGTTTGATACCTACTAATTAAGACCTAGATCACATTACACAATGTAATATTCCTAAACCAATTTGTACATACACTGTGATAGAATCAACAATGTAACATATCATGATATGCTACATATCAGTAATTAATCAGAATTTTCGATTTACTGTTTATGATTAATGTTCAAGATTCTTCAAACAAGGCTACACAATCTATTTAACATATTGAAGGAGTATTATGTATTATGTGGACAGGTCCCCTTTTAATTGATTTTAAAAAATTCAAAGGGTGAACCAACGGTTGATCACTCAGATTCCAAAATTCAAATTCAAACATGATGATGAATACAGATTAAGTGTATTGTTTACAGTTGCCATGGTAACAGGTGCTGCTCAACTGTTCCCTGCCTTGTTACGTCTTCATACGCACCAGGTCTACTGAGAAAATCAAGAATTTCAGTATTCAAGAACTTTATTAAAACACAAATAACTCTTGAGGGAGACAATGATATGAAAAGAACTGTACTAGCACTGCAATCATCATGACAACCAATCACCATGACATTTCATTTCTTCTCAGCCCTGAGTATCAGAATGCACTGCAATGATTAATACAGTCTCAGCCCTGAGATGTTTCAGGTGAAACAGAAAGATGCTATGAGTATCAGAATGCACTGCAATGATTAATACAGTCTCAGCCCTGAGATGTTTCAGGTGAAACAGAAAGATGCTATGAGTATCAAAATGCACTGCAATGATTAATACAGTCTCAGCCCTGAGAAGTTTCAGGTGAAACAGAAAGATGCTATGAGTATCAGAATGCACTGCAATGATTAATACAGTCTCAGCCCTGAGATGTTTCAGGTGAAACAGAAAGATGCTATGAGTATCAGAATGCACTGCAATGATTAATACAGTCTCAGCCCTGAGATGTTTCAGGTGAAACAGAAAGATGCTATGAGTATCAGAATGCACTGCAATGATTAATAGTCTCAGCCCTGAGATGTTTCAGGTAAAACAGAAAGATGCTATGATATATCAGAATGCACTGCAATGATTAATAGTCTCAGCCCTGAGATGTTTCAGGTGAAACAGAAAGATGCTATGAGTATCAGAATGCACTGCAATGATTAATACAGTCTCAGCCCTGAGATGTTTCAGATGAAACAGAAAGATGCTATGATATATCAGAATGCACTGCAGTGATTAATACAGTCTCAGCCCTGAGATGTTTCAGGTGAAACAGAAAGATGCTATGAGTATCAGAATGCACTGCAATGATTAATACAGTCTCAGCCCTGAGATGTTTCAGGTAAAACAGAAAGATGCTATGAGTATCAGAATGCACTGCAATGATTAATACAGTCTCAGCCCTGAGATGTTTCAGGTGAAACAGAAAGATGCTATGAGTATCAGAATGCACTGCAATGATTAATACAGTCTCAGCCCTGAGATGTTTCAGGTGAAACAGAAAGATGCTATGAGTATCAGAATGCACTGCAATGATTAATACAGTCTCAGCCCTGAGATGTTTCAGGTGAAACAGAAAGATGCTATGATATATCAGAATGCAATGCAATGATTAATACAGTCTCAGCCCTGAGATGTTTCAGGTGAAACAGAAAGATGCTATGAGTATCAGAATGCACTGCAATGATTAATAGTCTCAGCCCTGAGATGTTTCAGGTGAAACAGAAAGATGCTATGATATATCAGAATGCACTGCAATGATTAATACAGTCTCAGCCCTGAGATGTTTCAGGTGAAACAGAAAGATGCTATGAGTATCAGAATGCACCGCAATGATTAATACGGTCCAAGCCCTGAGATGTTTCAGGTGAAACAGAAAGATGCTATGAGTATCAGAATGCACTGCAATGATTAATAGTCTCAGCCCTGAGATGTTTCAGGTGAAACAGAAAGATGCTATGAGTATCAGAATGCACTGTGATGATTAATACAGTCTCAGCCCTGAGATGTTTCAGGTGAAACAGAAAGATGCTATGAGTATCAGAATGCACTGTGATGATTAATACAGTCTCAGCCCTGAGATGTTTCAGGTGAAACAGAAAGATGCTATGAGTATCAGAATGCACTGCAATGATTAATAGTCTCAGCCCTGAGATGTTTCAGGTGAAACAGAAAGATGCTATGATATATCAGAATGCACTGCGATGATTAATACAGTCTCAGCCCTGAGATGTTTCAGGTGAAACAGAAAGATGCTATGAGTATCAGAATGCACTGCAATGATAAATACAGTCTCAGCCCTGAGATGTTTCAGGTGAAACAGAAAGATGCTATGAGTATCAGAATGCACTGCAATGATTAATACAGTCTCAGCCCTGAGATGTTTCAGGTGAAACAGAAAGATGCTATGAGTATCAGAATGCACTGCAATGATTAATACAGTCTCAGCCCTGAGATGTTTCAGGTGAAACAGAAAGATGCTATGAGTATCAGAATGCACTGCAATGATTAATACAGTCTCAGCCCTGAGATGTTTCAGGTGAAACAGAAAGATGCTATGAGTATCAGAATGCACTGCAATGATTAATACAGTCTCAGCCCTGAGATGTTTCAGGTGAAACAGAAAGATGCTATGAGTATCAGAATGCACTGCAATGATTAATAGTCTCAGCCCTGAGATGTTTAAGGTGAAACAGAAAGATGCTATGAGTATCAGAATGCACTGCAATGATTAATACAGTCTCAGCCCTGAGATGTTTCAGGTGAAACAGAAAGATGCTATGAGTATCA